AAAAAAAAAAAAAAGATGAGGTATAAGGTCAATTATTTAAGGGAGTACTTACGACAGGAGTGACCTTTGGTTGAGGTTTAGGAGCTTCTTTATGGAAGCTGTAGTTGGCGCCTGATGATTCTGCGACGCGTTTCATAATGAGATCAGGGTCTACGTCGGCCTATGATAAAATATATTAGTTTATGGCCCATATGTTTATGCTAAGCCTACCTCGTCACGAGCGTTGATTTGAACATGAAAGCTCTATACGTTAAGTTTTATTACTGCTGTCTTTTTTCTTTAATCATTTCTTTACTTGCCTTAAAGAACTTGGAGACTTCAAGAAGTTGTGAGTTAAAAAAGGCTTTACGTAGTTCAGGTACACCTGTGCCGCACTATAACCCAAGTATTAGATAATCATATGTCAGAGTACCTTCTTTTCTTTACCCAGGCAATAAACACAAACTTGGGAAGTTCAGTATTTGGGTCCTTGACTTTAACATAGGCAAACTGTATTTTGCTATCCGAGAATTCCTCACATAATCCCTCCAAACCGTCATCTAAGCTGAGGTTATGCAAATAGTTCCAAAATAGACACACTCTATGACGTTACCTCCAGTAGCTTGTACGCGAAGGTCATAGGTTCCTTTATCAAAAGAGTAAACTAACCAGTCGGTAGAGTCCTTTTCGCTGATGACTGCTTCATAGGCAGCTTGAATGTCCTTGGCGTGTGTATTAAAGTTGATTTTGCTCATGAAGACAAAAAAAAGAGGTGTGTATTTTCTTGGCAGAAGAAGAAAAGAAACAATCTGGAGTGAATACTGGTCTGGGATTAAATAAGACGGTAAGAATATTCCCGCCTCTTTTTTTTGCTCTACAGATTAACACATTGATTATAAGAAATAATTGTGAATATAAAATATGCAAAAGCCTGAATATATTGCAGTTAATGTGGGAAAGAAGAAGCAAAAAGTAATTGATAAATCAACAATAAGCCAAGACTCACCACCGGCATTAAAGTAAAAATAGCTTTGCATAAAAGAAAAATACAGGTTGACAACTCATTCATAGGGAATACATTACCAATTCATTTAAACATTGCTCAGCAGAAAAACACCCATTACTCAGACAACAATTAAAAGTAATCATTCAACAAGCACGAAACACGGGAATGATTGATCTTATTGATTGGAGCGAACGTGATCTGCCAAGGTAGCTATTGCCATCACACTTTATGGCTGTTTGATAATCATAACTCTTTTGTGTAGTGCTTGTGACAATAGAAAAAATCCAAACGCATCCTCTCTTCCGCATAAAACGTATGATGCTGAACAAGATACGTAAATCCATAATCACTTATTTCATTCATAGGGGAAAGAAGATAACAAAGGGAATAGGCAACATAGAACTAACCCCTGCTGAAATATTACGAAGAGAGCAAAGAGCTATGCGTTTTCAGAGTGATCCTGTCTTAGCTAGCAATAATAACAGTCCACGGTTAAAAAAGAAAAATATCACACCTATCGTCTGGGACCTTGATTCACCAGGACAACCTTCGACAAAACCCATTGTGGGCACAAGCACAGCTTTAGAGAAACCTTATCTTCGTTTAACTTCAGTAAATATCGTCAAGATGCAATATACATTTAATAACAGTTATTAGGCGCCTGATCCCGCAACTGTACGCCCGCTTGATATCTTGCAAAAGACGTTTAAACTTTTAAGAAAGAAATGGAAAAAGGAAGCAAACTATTCTTATATCTGTGAACAATTCAAATCTATGAGACAAGACTTGACTGTAAGTTGACCTATTCTTGAAAAACACGCGACTGAAAGTATCTACAGGTTCAAAGAATACAAAACGAGTTCACGGTTAGAGTATATGAGACACATGCACGTATCGCGCTTGAAAAGGTATAGCAAAGAAAAAATAAACTATTGTCAGAATGATTAAGTATGGCTATGTAGGGTGATATTGGTGAATATAACCAGTGCCAGACTCAGTTAAAATATCTATATGAACAAGGCATTCAAGGATGTGAGGATGAGTTTTTAGCTTATAGAATATTATATATGTTGTTCTCTCGTAATCAATCAGGTACATTCATTATTGTTAAATCATACATTATGGCTCATCCTGTTTTTGCTCAAAGATTTGAATGCTATGCTGGAGGATATGTGTGAAATAGGACTTGATAACCAAGCAGAATGTGTTCAACATGCTCTTATGACACGATCTTGTTTAGCAAAAGGAAATTACTTTAGATTTTTTAGACTCTATGAAAATGCACCTAATATGGGAGGATATTTGATGGATCAATTTGTAAATAGAGCACGGATAGATGCATTGGTTGTTTTATGTAAAGCGTAAGTTGAGAAACTATATTCAAATATTTGGTATATTTATACATATTTAGACATAAGATGGGTATCTCGCTTTCATACATTGCTAAGCAATTATCATTTGATAAGGTCAAGCAATTAATTAAATTCTTGAATGAAAATGAAATATACCCAACATCCATGATGCTTGATACAAAGGTCGCTTTACCCATTCTGCAATCAAAGAGCAAATCATTCATGATCTCTATAAGTCAGACACGTTCATAAGATAGAAAAAAGGTTAATAGTGTCATCTCTTTAAATAAATGCTATTTTTGGTTTAATAAATATCCGCCCGGATCCGTTCAATCCGTTTGGAGGTGAGTGCTAAGAAAAAACCCCTTATGGGGACAAGGATAAAGAATGTAAAAGGAAAGTAAAGAGTGGAGTTATCGACAGAAAACTAAAGGAATTGATTGAACCATACAAGGAGCTTTTGACCATGGGGATGCTTAATAGGGGTCGCCATTTTTACTTCACCTCAGCTCTCCACATCCACTTTCTCTTTTCCATTGTTACTTGTTCATTTAATGCCCACAATAACTAGGGAGCAAGCAAATTTGCATGCTATTTAGTGCTGCATATGCTGATGGGAATTGTAATAAATATATAAAAATTGTTGACGAACTAGAAGGCTTGAATATTTGCTACAACGAAGATCCCATGGAGCCTTTTATTATTTCAATTTCCAAGATCATCGCCTACCCGTTAAAATTTTGTTGTTGTTAATAAATCACATAGGTTTATTAAACAAGAAAACAGTAAGCAGATTTGGCAAGTGGTTGAAGTCAACCAAAGTAGATTTGCTTAACTCTCCCGACAAGAGAGTTCTCACCAGCGACAACGAGAAAATTCAGGTGAAAAATTTATATGTAATGAAAGAGAAGTTCTTGGACAAGTTAAAAAAAAGAAAAGAAAAGAAAAGAAAAAAGAAAAAAGAAAAAGAAAAACTACATATTTATTTAAGTTAACCAATACCACTACAGTCGATATACCATTTCTAGAAAGAGATGTCGCGCTGCACTGCCAAAAACATTGAGCCAATACTAACTTTCGAGCTTTTGCAAATAGTAGTTTTATATTTTACAAGTCACCTGAACATTTAGAAAAGCATTACAACCATTAGGAGGATAAAAAATTAGCACATATTGTATATCGATATTATAGACTCTTTCCGAGAGAAAGCTAGTGTAAATCGTCAATAGCTTACCTCTCATGCAATTGCTATGTTACCAAGACCTCTTCCTGTAATTGCAAACAGCGGTAATTTTATTTTTTCAGGTTCCCAAACAGAAATAAATCTTCCATTTACTTCAACTAGTACACTTTTGCTTCCTATTGATTATACACATTATTATCATCGACGAATAATGATCAATGATGGGCTGGGAAACGTTAAATCAGCAATTCCTTTGTATAGCCATCTTAACAACAGACGTAAAAATATTTCAAATTTATTTTCCTTAGCATATCATCCGTGCTTTAAAAACTCTCATTCATGCTCTTCTACTACTCCCTCTAATTTTTCAACTCCCTCAGGTGGTAGCGGTAGAAAGCCAAGAGCCTGTGAAGGTTGTAACAATAACACATGTCCTGGTAAGATTGATAGGGCCAAATGTGCACAAAGTGCCTAAAGTGTAATCGTACAGAAAACTGCAATGGCATTTGAGACAAAAATACATGCGATTAGGAGTAAAAAAATCTTTTATTAATCTTCAGTAAAGTTGTGAACTAGTTAAAAGTCTCTCTTAGTTTCAAAGCAGCACGCTTTTACTTGCAGGAATAACCACAAGAAGGTGGAGACTATCTATTCCCAACCCCCAGATCCTAAGTTGTCTCCCCCAGATCTCATGTCACATTGTCTTCTACAGAGAACTGAGCCGAACTTCAAAGAGTATCTGCAACACAGCCCCTCAATCTGTGACACACTTGAGACAATGCAAGCACACCACAACAGATTTTATCTAATATCAGATATAAAAGAAAAAGAAAAAGAAATTTTATGGGGGTTACGGATTTTTATAGTTTGTGGGAAAAAAATCACATGCTATTATGACAATCGCGAGCCATGCATTTTTTTAGGCGTTTTTTCCAACATTTTCCAACATCTTTTAAAAACATTCAGCTGAGAGCACTGAGGGTCTGAAAGGTTCTCCCCCAGAAAAAGGAGGTGAGGGAGTTAAGTAATTATCAGGACGTAAGAAGAAAAAATGGCTTGATAGGGCGTGATATGCCTATTGTAATCACTCCCTCTACGAGAACAGTATCTCATACGATTTTGGGCGCCATCTTGTAGCAAAAAGTCTGTGCCTAGAGGTACTGTTACTGACCATTACCTTGTATTTCTTGAGAAAACTATGGATGAGATGGACTGTCTCCCTAAGATGAAGGGCCATTACATATTTATGGATAATGCGCCTATTCATACTGCTAAAGAAATAGATGAACTTATAACTAAGAGAGGCTACGAGCCTATTTATCTTCCACCCTATTCTCCAGAGCTCAAACCAGCCGGGCAATTTTGGGCAATAGCTAAGAACAAAGTCAAGCGTAGTGTTTTGCCAGATACAAAGGTAAGAGACAAAAACTAATAAGATGAGAAGACAATAGAAAAAGGGCAATAAGTCAGTGAGACTGAAATATATGATGTCTTTATTTATAATGAATAAAACAATGGTATTTATACTTTTTAACATCTACAATCAATAATGATAATTGGATATCGTAAGCGTATCTATAAGCGTCCAGCTACGATAGGAATAACTGGGAAGAGCCTAACTAGTATTAACTGTTGGTTCGATGTATGCTCGAGGTGCCTTGTTAATGAAGTGGTACATGATTTGACAATGTCTGTCGAATAAGGAACCGTTGACCTGGAAGTTAGAGCACAGACATTTAATTAAGCATTGTATAGAGTAAGTTCATATATGGTATGTTATATATGGAAGAACTCCTAATCGAGTAACGATTGTTACAAACATTTATTGATAGTGTTGTGATGGCACAACACGTAGTAACTTTGAGGACAAGAGGACCTAGGTTTACCAGATGTATAAGTTCATTCTTGGTACATCACCCCCTTTTATATAAGGTATATATATCATTGGTATTCAGCGTATACCTTTCTTTTTTTGGGATCAAATGTACTCTTACCTTCTCGTAGTTGATCCTGTTAATCAAGACTATTATTGTCTTGAGAACTAAAAGGAATACGCCTTTATTATAAATAAACGTAAATAATTTAATCCTCCAATGTATATTTTTCGTAAATTTGTCTTAATGTGATTGTCATAGCATAGTTAATACAAGCTTCCATGAAAAGATAAAAGAATGCAGATCTCCCCCTGCTGACTTGGTAAAGAGCACAAAACCTGTCATTTCTACTTTTAGTATATGATTAGATTACGTAAGCTCTGTTGTTGAAGAATTTAGTACTCGTTTCCCCGTCTTTCATTCTTTCTTACATTTCTTTAATCTAATTTTATCAACTATGGCTCCTTCCATAGAGGAGATTTTAGGAGATAAGTACAGCGACCACGTCTATCCGTGGGAAGAGATTGTCCATTATGTTAGTAAGTGAGCAAGTGATACAACAGACTGGAGCTGTATTAATACGATGTAGGTATCAACCAAGTTAGTCAACTTCGCAGAAATAGAAAGGCAGAGATAATCTATAGAAAATGGATAACTGAGACGCTTGAAAAATATGGAAACATCGAAAATTTTTTACTTAAAGAAAAGCTTCATTTTCCTGATACAGAACCATCTTATTTGGTTCTTCCTAATGATTTTCCTTACTCGACAGAACCTGGTATTGAACACGTCTTGATTTGGTCTAAACAACCCTTATCAGCCGAGTTCATTGAAAATGTGCTAGAAGAAAGGTATGGTAGCTCCGTCTGGGAGTGGATTTATTTTGTCAATCCCCCCGAGTATCAGAGCGTTCGCCGTTTGCCTCACGCCCATGTTTTCATGCGAAGACGTCAAAAATAAAATAAAATTTGGGAGCCAGACACTTCCTCTCTCCACTTACTTTCTTCATTTTAATACTCATGAGTTTTCTTTGGTCATTTGGAAGTAAAAAGGTACTATAAAACAAAACCAAGAAAAGGAAAATACAAAAAGGAATAACATGACTGAAGGAAGTAGAAAAGGATACTCTACCATCCCAACAACAACAACAACAACAACAGCCTTTGAAGGCAATGAATAATGCTTTTAGAAAAGGTGTTCACTATAACAGTAAGTAGTCAATGACACAATCAGTAATGATGTTGTAATGACCTGCAACAGTGAAGGTTATCTTGCGAGGCGATGTCATGACAGGCAAAACAAGTTTATGTAAGCAGAGAACAAAACAATAAGAAACTCTCTTTATTCATTCTCTTTTAGTCCAAAGACTTCAAGGCAATGAGTTTATAGAAGAATACACGTCTACACCAGAGATACAAGTCATGAACATACCTTGGCACTATAAAAGTATATATGCAAAATAGTTTCCATTTGTTCCTTTGTTTAACCCAACAAGATAGATTCGAATGATGTTATCAAAGTAGAAGTGTGGGATGTTATCGATAAGGCACATAATAAACAAAATAACAAAGGCGAGACTGGCATCAAACTGCAACATCATGTACCCCAACGTCAAAAAAGTGATGATGCAAAAAATGAACCAGAAGAGAGTATAGGCTTAGACGCAACCACTGTCAATGTTTATAGAAATACACATGCAGCAATATTTTTATTTGATATTACAAAGCCATGGACGTTTGATTATGTCAATAATGAACTAGCTCATGTACCAGAGACACTCTCTGTTCTTGTCCTCGTAAGCTTTATAAAGTATATAAAGAAGAGTAAAAATTCTAATGATGATGATTAGGGTAATTTTGCTGACAAGAGTAAGGATAGAAAAGTGCATTTGGATCAAATACATGCAACTCTATATCAACATAATAAAGAACGCATGGAAAGAGGTGCACTAAAGCCAAACTTGATAAGATATGCAGAGACCAGCATGAAGAGTGGATTGGGTCTAAAATACATTTATGAGTATCTGGGTGTCCCCTTTTTACAACTCATGGTAAATTAGAGTGTGCTTATAATTAAAGATAGACTAATGAGTATCAGATGGAGACATTAAGAAAGCAGCTCGAGTTGAAGGCTATAGAGATTGTTGATCTATTGGAAACATTGGACATTGATCAGGAGGTGCCTGAAGTAATGCATAGAAGAAGAGGACAAGATAATTTTGACCAACGTAAAAACAGATTCCTTGTTTATGGCGTACCTGCTGACATTTATTTATAGCGTCAGAACCAAGGCTAGCAAAGGAACATGCAGAAATGAAGGCTGTTTGGGATAAAGAACTTGAGGAGATAGCAGCTGACCGTGAGTGTGGATTAACATAAACAAAAAAAATAACTTGAAACAGATAAACAAAAACCTTAAATAGATGCTGTCCTACGTCATGACACACCTCCTCCTCCAACATCACCTGTCAAAACTATAAAGAGAAAAGATATTCAGCTACCTGTTGAAGTAGTCAATCAGTTTGATACAGGAGAAGAGTTGGCTGATGACTGGTTTGGAGAAGTAGACGATACGATTGAGTTACCAGTTGTTAGAGTAGATTCAGATCAAGAAGATAATATACCAACCAATCCCATGGTAGCAGGTGATGAAGATGTAAATATAGACTTTTATACAAGCGTAAAAATACCAGAAGAAAGCAGACAAGAAGAAGAAGAACAAGAACAAGAAGAAGAGGAAGAGGAAAAGTATCAACCTATCTTTAAAAGTGAATTAACCAACGTTTGGAACCACAATTATTCAAAAGATGTCATATCAGACGAAAGTGAAGATGAATATGTGGAAGAACAATCGTTGGGATACTTGGGAGAGTATGAAGAGATTGGAGGAACCAGTGAGAATCCATGGTCAGCGGAAGACCATTGGTCAGAACAACCAAAAGAAAAGGTAAATAGATAATAAACAGGATAACATAAATATTTATTCAACTATAGAAAAAGACGAGTAAAAAGAAGCATAAAAAGAAGAAGAATAGCTCATCTTTTTAAATCAGGCAATAGTTTAAGGTTTCTTCTGGTCTTGTTTTGAACATCATTATATAATACAAAGTCTTGCTTTTTTTTGTTAACTGTACAATATGGGTAATAATTAGCTGTGTTGAGAATCATGTTGGCATCTTTTAGTGTCAAATGGTCTTGTAGTGAAGATAGCAATTGATCAATGCTTGGTATTTTATTCATAAAGAAAAGAAGGAAAAAAAAAAAAAAGAAAAAGAGAAAAAGAGAGAGAGACAGCAATCAAAAAGAGAGAAGGGGGTTATGTGATACTAAAGTGTTACAGTGGCATGAATTCTACGGTACTATTTCCGATAAAATAATATAGGAATGCATCTTTGTAACTCTCTTATTTAGGAGTCAAAGAATATAAAGTGTTTTTTATGTCTCCTTTTTTTTATATACAATACAGATATATTTTTTTTCTTAATTTAATAGTAAACAATTACTCTCTTTTCTTTTTTTCTTATCCCCCCTTTATTTATCATGACAGCCTCAACAACTTCCTCTGTTAGGTAGAGAATTGTTGTTTATAAACTATAGATGAATAACATTTATTAAAGGGTGGCAGTACGAGTGAGACCACTGACAGAACAAGAAAGACAGCAGCGAATATCGATCACGTTTCACTCAAATAATCAAATCGCTGTAGGAAGCGATCGATCGTTTACTTTTGATTATGTTTATCCGCCTTCTTCAGGACAACAAGAGGTATTTGATACATGTGTCATACCTTTATTGAATAAATTCCTCGAAGGGTAAAATAGAAATGCATTGTCATATTTGTTACTCAACCCTTTTTAGATATAATTCGACTATCCTCGCTTATGGGTAAACCATATAAATATATATATAAAGCGTACATTTTTTAATATATAAATCAGACAAACAGGCAGTGGGAAAACATATAGTATGGGCATTGGCCTAGATACAACCAATGAAGGCATTGTACCAAGATTTGTTTATACCATGTTTCAGCAACTTGATTACAAGAAAACCTTATTAAGTTCGTTTTCATATCAAGTCTCTGTCTCCTTTTTAGAGTTACATCAAGAGGATCTTGTTGATCTCTTGGGAGACAAGGGCTTTCATTTGACAATCCGTGAAGATACAAATGGAAATATTTGTTGGAGTGGCGTAAAAGAAGAACCAGTTCTCTGTCCAGAAGAGCTGATGGGGTAACCTTATCAACTTTATATATACATGCATTTATTTATTCCCATTTTTTACTAGCTATCTCAAAAAGGGATCAGTATCAAGAACAACCGCTGCTACAGACATGAACCATAATTCTTCAAGGTCTCATGCTATTTTCTCCATCAATTTAAGACAATTGGATCAAGGGAAAAAACTTGTTTCAAAATTTCATTTTGTCGACTTGGCTGGCTCCGAGAGAGTAAAAAAGGATTTACTGTAAATTTTTATTTTTATTCATGTATGTTCCTCTAGTTGAAACGTACAAACGCTGTAGGAGATCGTGCCAGAGAGGGCATCTCTATCAACAGCGGTTTACTTGCCCTCGGTAATGTCATTTCGGCTCTCGGAGATGAATCGAGGCGTGTGTCACATATACCCTATCGGGATTCCAAGCTCACACGGCTACTACAGGACTCCTTGGGTGGAAACAGCCAAACGTTGATGTTAGCATGCGCTTCACCTGCTGAAAGCAACGTGACTGAAACACTCAATACTCTCAAATATGCTAATCGTGCGCGTAACATTCGAAACCGCGTCGTGGTCAACCAAGAGATCGGTGAAGTCGATAAATTGAAACAAACCATCGCCCGACTTAAGGAGGAACTCAGGAGTAACGATGATTTTCTTCATGCAGTCAATAACGAAATGGATACCCTCAAGAAAGAAGTCGAAGTGCTTAATACCACACTCCAACAAAAGAGCATGGAATTAGCCCACGTCAAATGCGAACGTGATAGGTACAAACGCGCCTGCCAACAGGACGGAGCAGATTCCGCTGAGGATGAAGATAACACGCTTGTCAGTTCCTCTTTAGTGACAGAGTATGCTCAGATTATCGAGTCCCTCAAAATAGAGCTTATGCAAGCACAAGAAAAGTTAAAGCTATGCCAGGAACGCGACGATGATACCCTGGTGGGATCGCCTTGTCATTCTTCTAATCATTGCCCTACAGAAAGAATAACATCGTGTCCCACTTCAGAAAAGCCTCTGACTGTTTCAGAAAAGCCTTTGACTATCTCGGACAAGACATCGTCTGTCTACAAAAAGACGCACCGCGTCGGGAGTACTCGCCGATCAAAGTACAATAAAAGAAAAAATAATTCTCTATCTACAGTATCACCTAAACAGCAACGACAAAAGAATAAAGCCTTACAAGAAGTCAAGAGAAAATTACAAAGAGAGGCTGAGTTCCTGAAACAACATGGAATGTGGAATGATGGAGAGATTGAAATCAAACGTCCAAAGCATAGAAGACGAACGTTAGATACAATTCAGCCCATGATACGACGCGAACACGATGAAGACAACCAAACGATGCTGTTACAAAAACTGGCATCTATGGTAGAAATACAGTATGATTTGATCGAGCAGCTAGAAAATAGCATTCAACTGCAGGAAGAAATAACATATCAACATCATCAAAAGATAGCTGAAATGGCAGCTAAAAGAAATATCGCTCTTGGTCATCACAAGCGAGAGCTTTCTGATGTCAAGGCACAATACGAATGTAGGCTGAAGAAGCAGCAGGTTGAACTTCAGAGCTTACGTCGAAAACACATGCAGTTGATGAGCAAATCAGATCGAATGCGACACCAGAGCCAGTCAACGATTGATCAACTGAGTCGTACGATTGAAAAGATCAATCACGAAAAGAAAAAGACAATCAAGCGAATGAAGCAAGAATCTATTCGTGCTCGTGAACAGTCAATGGAACATGAGAAAGTCCTATCTAAATTGAAAAAGCAGGAAGCTCAGCTAGTTGCAACAAAGAAACGATTGGAACGAGAGATTGGTGTTCAAAAAATAGCCTGCAAGCGATTGACAGAAGAAATAGTGGCTCTTTTGGGTCAGATGAAGCAGATTACGGGTATTCTCAGAAAGGTCATGACATGTGCTCCCTTGGCTATGACCACCAAGACATTATTGGCAAAGGCATTGGCGTGCGCAAATGTCAGAGGATACCATCATATCAAATCAAATACATCCACAAAGAAATCAACAAAAACAAAAGCAGCAACATTACAACAGCATGTATTCAATAAAAAGAAATTAATTGTTAGGTACATGATAGAAAAAACGTACAGCAAAACAGATCATTCATATTATGTAGGGCAATATCTGCCTTTGTTAAGGGTCAAGTGACCAATCAACTCGTTGCCGATCTTTTGGAGAAGGCAAGTAGTAAGCTTTAAAAAGAACCTACGCTAATCTCTATTTATTATATAGTCTGAAAGTCTGAAAGCAGAACAAAGGGAGCTTTTATCTGAACGCGAACTCGTGCTGATAGATTCACATGAAAAAGATACTTTTACGAACGATGAGCTATCTGAACCTCAGTACATGGACGAAAGAATTGACGCGATCACATTACAACTCAATCTTGTCCGTCAGCAGTTGGAATCAATCCAAGACATAAAGCAGACAAATGCTGATGAAGAATGGACGAATGAAGCAGATCATGGTCAAACTAACGCATATGAAACTGCACTTTCAATCATAAGATCATTAGAGTATGAAGAGGCCAGATTGATTTCTGAGCTGTTGATGGAAGATATGATTCAGTTACAAAAGGATTCTTATCTCAACCGTACTCTCACTCAACCAGCTCTCTCTATGCTTCAATGGCTATATGATGGACTAACCCAGCTAAGAAGGGCCACATCGATTGGAGAGCTTGATCCGATTTTAGTACGTACCTTGAAGAATTCGATACGGATAGAACATGGTCTTTTATTACCTAATCCACAAAGAGACTAAAGATTCAATATACCATTTGTGTTTTATACAACGTAAAATATATATCTCAATGTTTACGCTGAAACCTTGCGACCATGTCAGTTATTAACGTAACAGAGTCTTTACCAAGTTGATAATAGTCACTTCCTTCTGAAGAATCAAACATGCTAGTATGTGCCTTGATGACATTAGGCGCTGAAGATAGGAAAGGAATAAAGGCATATGAATCTTCATCAGGTGGCAGTCTAATAAATGTCTTTGGTTCTTCATCCTCATCATCTTTTGCAGGCAACTACAACAAAGGGTTGAGTATAAGAGTTGAATCGCACACAATCATACCATAACATAAAAGCATTTAAAAAAGATATCCTTTACTTGCAATAGTTTTTTGACCCTATTATGTTGTAAGCCCATATTAAGCTTACCCATATCTTTTTTTTACCTTTCATCGCAACCATGCATATCTGTTAAATCTTTTATAAATGTAAATTCATCATAAGCATCTACAAGTGTTGCAGAAATTTTGTCTCTTGCCATATAAGCAGCAGCCCCAACAGCCACAGCACCTACAGCACCAGCCAATAGTCCCCAAGATTTTGCACTGCCTGTTCTTTTAGATGATTCTATAGCTCTGGTGGCCGTTGTGCTCATCAGGGCAGATGCACCCAAACTACAGAACTGACCTACTTTTTGAAACTTTTCTATGCCATACTTGGCTTGATCTGTCACTAGACCATGATGAATGGAATAAAAAGGGGTATCGTATGCGAGCATGCCAATAATGCTGGCACCCAAAAGATCATGCGGTGATTCCACAAATTTCAATATAGTCTCTGCACCTACAAAAAATAATAGATGAATACATATATAAAGTCGAATATATTGACAATACTTTACCTACAATACCACCCATCGAGTGGCCTAATAGAACAATCATAATATTGCCTTTACTGTTCAGTCTCTTGATTTCATCTTTTAGTCGAGACACTTGGGCACAGAGCCAGTGTGAAAAATTGTTGACAGCAACACGGAGATCTCTAAACAATTAACAAGGCTTTTTTCTTTATGTTTTCATATTTTACCCTGCTGTCTTGTAAGAAGGATAGACTATGGCGTCTACGTCTGCTTTTATGGTGTTTGTGAGTACTGTTTGTAGTCTATTAGGAAAGTCCTAAGGATAATAAGATGGCATATTCTCTACTAATTAATCTTTACTTTGAAACTAGCATCTGATCCTCTAAACCCATGAACAAAAACAAGCAAAAGTTTATCTATATTATCTTTTTCTTGGCTTTCCATTTCAAGTAAATATTGTTATTATTATAAAGAAAAAGAGAAAGTTATTTATTTATGCAATAACACAACCACCTTTTTCTTCAGTTGGAGGCTTATTCGCCTTTTCAATTTGAGCGATAAGTAAATCGAATATTTTAGCTAATATGTATTAGTTTCTTTTATCAGGAAAGTGCAACCTTTTACTTACAAACATTTTCGTCATGTTTTGCGGATGTTTCGATGGTAGGACAATTCCACTGTTGAGCCAACTCTTTACCTTCTTCTGTTGACACTTGTCTTTGAATATTCAAATCTGACTTATTCCCTACGACGACACATGGAACACCTTCTAAGCCTGTGAAATCCAATATTTTATCTCTGATAATCTTTATCATATCAAAACTAGATCTAGAAGCTATTGAATAGACAAGAACATAACCATGCATTCCAGTAGCATGATGAGAAGATAGGATAGAATATTCATCCTATTAAAACATAAGCATATTGTATACAGCTTCAATTCTCTCTAAACTTACTTGACCCGCTGTATCCATAATTTCTACAGTGTATTCTATTCGAATATTAATAAATGCATGTATAAACATATATAAACTTTACCATTTCCTCGATATTTTATAGTTTTTGTAAATGTATTTTCGATGGTAGGATAATAACTATCTACAAAATGATTCTCACAAAACTGAATAACTAAGGAAGACTTGCCTATATATGTTTATAAGTCAATCTATGTACTTTTTTTTTTCGAATTCCATCTACTCACCCACTGCACGAGCACCAAGGACTGCAATTCTTCTTGTCTTTGCTTGATTTGGAACGGACATGAGAAAAAAGAGAAATTTAAAAAAGAGAAAAAAAAGAACAGGCGTATGTCTGTGTTGGTGCTGTATTGCTCTAAAGTATTTTTTTTAAAATTGTTCAATTACCGATGAAACACTTAAAAGGAAACCCCAATGTTTAAACAAATTTTTAAAAAAGAGGGGGGCTTCTTGCTCAACAAGTTATGATAAGGATATACTTTTCAAAAAAAAGAATCAATTCTATACACATGTTTCAATTTGAGACTATTTATCGTGGGAAACGGTTTAGATAGTACTTGTTCAAGATGCCAACTTTGAAAGACATGCTGATTGATCAAAACATAAACGACTCTTTTATGAATGTGAGCGCAGGAATATTGAAGGATATCTGCTTTTTATTTTGATTCTTTTTTTTTTTTTATCTATCATGTCAATAGAATAGAAAGCTTGATATTGTTTTATCTAAATTATGCAAGAACTATACAAGTCTTGTCAGGAACACCAACATAATGACCTTTTGCATAGATAAAAAAAAAAGGACCTTCTTTTGATTAAACAGATGCAGATATCAAAAAAAAAAAAAAAAAAAATGCATATTATTATATGAATGTGTGCTTATGAAATATATTTATTAAATAAAAGGAAAAAAAAAAAATATTACAATTTGGTCTTCTTTGGTTCGTTATTTTCATTTTGTTCATTCTGTCGCACCCTTTTGCTTTTAGCTTCAGATTGGGCAGGAGGAGGAATATAAGAACTGCGATGACGGCCCAGCTTTGGAGGAATCTTCCAAAAGTACTGCTTATCTTTCAATGTGCACTTACGAGCACTACGTCCGACTTGAGTATAGGTAGCTCGACGCCATTCAACAGGGTCAAGTTCACTGTTGTAGTAATATAGATTTTCTTTTGGTGAACCATCAGCCGTCTTTCCTTTACGTTGAATTTCTCCAAAGAATGGCTTTTCTTTCAACACTTTCTTGATACGTTCAATCCATAATTCACGGGATTGTTCAGCGTATACTGGATTCGACTTCATAATGCGTGAACAAATATCACTGATGGGCATGGATGATGTACGTGAAAATACTAACTTGGTTTTAGTTTTCAAATAATTAAATCTAAAAAACAAGCTTACCAAGTGCATCAATGATAACTTCAGAATAATCTTGTTCTTGTTCTTGGCTTTCGTTTTCTTTTTCTTCTACTTGACTCAAATCATTTGTCTTTTCGTCTTTTGCTACTTTCTCTTCTTCTATACTCTCTATTGATAAATCATTTGCCTTTTCTTCTTTAAACTCTTCTTCTTCTGGCTTTTCTTCCTCTACACACTCCTTGTTGAATATCTCCTCACTTTTTTCATCCCTTGGAGGAGGTGGGATTCTAAATTCAATATGGTCTCCCAGAACATCAATGAAGCTGTGATCCTCAAGTACAACAATAGCATGTTGACCGTATCTGATATGGTCAACATTGGCACCATTAAGCCCCAACACGGTCAACTGAAAGTGTTGGGATTCATTATTGTATTCAATTGAAACGTGAATGCGACTAATTTGTCGGTTGCGACGCCCAATCTTTATCGTTGAAGCGCCTCCTCTGCCTAATGTTATCGGCTTCTGGTAATCACCCACAACAACAATTTTAGCAGAAACTGATTGAAGAGTGGAGGAATGAAGATCAGACGTTGGTTGAAGGTCATCTGAATGCATTGCGTATCTTTCTATATCTTCGGGACTATCTGGTAATACAGTCGTGGTGGGTTTATGTTGAGGGCTACACCAAGGCTGATTGACTGTTGTTTCCATGGCAATAAAGCGGATATAGGAAAAAATATTTTTTTTTTCCCTTTTCGCTTTCTCTTTAGGATCGCGCGTAAGAACTTAAAAAAAGCCATTTGATTGGCTAATTGAAAAATTATTTTTATAGCGCGTGTGTATTGTTGGATATATCACCCATATCTGGATGAGAGAAGACAAGGCATCTTCTCTGTATATATTCATCAACATTCTACATTATAAAACTTCTCCATATATATGTCAAATTTACATATATATATATATATGTATACATGGAGAATATTTTTCTTTACGTGATAATCAATTAGAAGTTACAAACAATGAATATTTAAAATGTTAATGTAATCCTTTATATTGTAAAAATAAATGAATGGAGAGGAAAGATAAAGCAAAAGGTATATTTAGTAGATCTTTGATATAATTCATTGTCATTTGAATGTTTGACAAGGATTTTGATTTCAGTTTTAATCAACCGCTGAATTCCTCTCTCTTTCTCTATTCTCTTCTTTCTTTTGTGTATAATGTCAGCAAAATTGCCAGAGTTCACAGATAAGCAGTATCCTCCTGAATTGGAATTGAGGTAAAGGACTATTTTGTGTGTTTATGCGCTTTATATAAATCTCGGTATATAATCTGTTCGTAGGTTATTGCAAATTGTTCATCGTCATGGTAACTATTGACACTGTACTATTGCGCAATTCTCTAAAATTATCATTAGGTGAAAGAACACCTGTCAGAAGAAGACTAGAAAACTTGTTTCCGCCCGTGTGGAACTTATGTGAAGCCAATAAGGCCATGTTTGCAAGCATTGCCCAATTTGATAAACAAAAGGTCCAAAGCTTAGGCCCTATCCATGTCGAACGTCTAGTAGAGAACCATGGAGCAGAAAAGCCTGGTGCATGGTAAACTTAAAAAAAAAAAAGTCCTTTGCATAATTACCCACACTACTATTATATTAGTTACTATGGACAATTGACCAATTTAGGAAGACTTCGAATGACCGGCTTGGGTCAACGTCTAAGAGAAGTCTATATTGACAAGTAAGAGCCGATCAAGTACGTAAATGTATATGCTAACTTTGGGATAGATTGAAATTTTTACCAGACGTGTTTGATGAAGACACCGTGTATGTCAGAAGTACAGACTATCCTCGTACACAGGAATCAGTTCAACAGCTCATTGCCGGTGGACTATATCCAAAAGGCAAGCGACCCGAAGATTTTGTGCTAAAGCTTCGAATTAGGTAATTAAAAAGTATACCTTAACAAACTAGGAATGTATACAAATGACCCTTTTGTTAGAGATCCTCGAGATGATAATATGTTTCCAAATCCAAACTGTTTTAAGCTACGTGCATTGGCTAAAGAATTTACCAAGACAGTAGCTGATCTGACAAAGGACCAATGTAAATCATTGGCCCAGAAGCTCAAGAACTACGTTCAAGATGTGTCTCTTTACAGCCATCCTTCTGCTAACGGAATTCTCGGTAAGTAATTTACACTTTTACATGTGGTATTCTAACATAAAAATAGATACATTGGTATCTGCCAAAGTACACGGATTTCAATTACCTGATATCGATGATGACACACTATTTGAGTTGGAAAAAGTAGTCGTCAAAGAATGGTTCTATGGAGCCACGGTATCCAATGAAGTCAGAAGACTCGCCTTGGGCAGACTCATGGGTGAGATCCAAGATCGTATGGTACGCAAACAAGAAGGAAAAGATGCAAAGGATGAAGAAAGATTGAAGCTGGCTGTTTATTCTGGTCATGATACGTAGGTGAATTTGCCCTTTTATGATTCTTAAATTAACAGCGCACCCTAGTACAGTAGCTCCACTCCTTATTATACTGAATGCATTTGACGAAAGGTTACTCTTATTGCATTTGAAACTGACTAATTTACTAATTTTTGTGCAACTTAGGTGGCCACCTTTTGGTAGTGCAATCTTATTTGAGTTATTCAAAGAGAAGCAAGGTAAAGAACACTATGTCCGTGTGAGATATAATGAGAATACGCTTGAATTACCAGGTTGTGCTGGTAAAGGACAACATAAAGAAGGCGATAAGTCACTTTGTACATTAGATGCATTTAGAAAGATTGTAAAGGATCAAATCCCGACTGATTGGGAAAAAGAGTGTATTATAAAATAAAGTGTAACACTAAATTAATAGTGTCTTTCTTGCGGGGTAGAGAAGTGTAACAATTTTGGATTTCCATTATTTAAGCAGCATTCTTTCTCTCGCTCTCTCCCTTTCCTTCTCTTTCTTCTTTCAATAAAAAAAATGTTCAACAACGATCAGACAATGCCTAATGGATTTTTACAAGAGCCTGTCGCTTTTGAAGGTATGAAATGTGTTTCATTACCCCCTTACCTTTTTCTAACTTGTCCCTTTTAGACTTTGAATTCACTTTAGGTTATGATTTTGCGGTGCCTATTGATTTCAATGAGCTCGAGGACATTCCTTTTAACCCTGAGGCACACTCTCACGTTTTGGATGAAGACGAACGAGACATGTTTAACCAATTTTTGGACCAATTCGATACTGATGGCGACGTCCACATGGATCCTTCGGCCTTTTCCTTCCCAGTTCAAGTGGATGAAGATGGACTATGTGAATCATTCTTGCTTCATTCATTAGATGATAGAAACAATGTAATAGAAGATAGCTCGGAATATGAACATGGAACATCTTCTTTATTAAAAGAAGCAACAAATCGTCTTGGTTACCTGTGTTCATCAACTCAATCTACAGGGAACATTTCTCCTGGTCTTAATACAAGCAATACCAATCATTATGGAGAACTTACAGTGCCGATGTAACTTGCCTTTATTATTATTTGGGTGAAAGTATTTCTCCCTTTTATTCGAGACAAACAAACATGAAACATATGACCTTGCTACTGCTCTCTGAAATCCCCCACCTCCCTGTGAGCACTGGGACCGTAGGAATATTTTGTCGATACTCGTGCTTGTCCCACAGCGGCTTAATGTTTCTCGCTTTCACTCGCTCCACTTCTGCCTTTATATCCGAAGAATAGTTACAAAACCCTTTTTTTAATGGAATAATTTTTTTTCTTAGACCCTGTTTAGTATATTTGTTTAATGTAAATAATAAATTCCTACTGATACAAATATTCTTGTTATATGCTCTTAAACTATTACCCTGACATTTTAATAAGAGCAGAAACATTTGTTTCTCCTAATACATTTGCCATAATTGGCATCAAATATTCCCATTGTGTGTATTAATTGATATTTATAAACATTGAGCATTGATCATACAAAAAAAAAAGCAATTTCTGATGTACGACTTTATCTGCTACACAAGCAATAACTTTAAATGTCTGCTATTGAAAGACAACATTGTAAACATATCATAAGTTGAAATTGTACAACATGAAACTAGAGTCCATCTTGTGAAAATAAAGGCTAAGCAAACAGACATTAGGAATAAGAGAAAGTGATCAATGTGATTGACGATGCTAAAAGTTTTTTTTTTATTCTGTTATAAAGAACTGAATTGATTTCTTGTTTATAATATTGCTTATAGTGTGGTCATGTTGGTCTCTCACTAACTGAGACAGAACGAATGATTTTCTAGTAATAAATTAAAAAGTTACACTTTATTGCCTCATTACGATCCAAACTGAGAGTGCCCTTGAAGTTTTGGTTGACAACAGTAACAGTACTCTCACGCCAAAGTTTTATTGCAAGGGAGAGATGATCTAAGTGCCTTGGTCAGTGATTTAGATACTCTTTTTCAAATTGTCACCATTGTACGTCCCGTTTTGATATTGTAAAGTTGTATAATGCATCTTGACAATCTACTCATCTTGAACGTTTTTATTGCTCTTACTCAAGTATTAATCGTTCATTTCCTTTTGGATACCCCTTTGGCAAGTTTATGTCGAGCAAATAATAATAATATTAGCCACAGGCGATCGCGACATGCAAAAGAAAAAAAGAAAAAAAGAAAAGATTTTTCAAATCTGTAAATCATCTATGTCAAGCTACAACCTTCAAGTTGATTCCGCATACGAATAAGCTTAACCTATGTATTCCCATCAGGGATTGCCGCACTTACAGCCATCACTTGAGTGAAACCGCTCTTTTGCATCCGCCAGACACTACTCTTTAAATGATGGATTATTTTGCTCTATTTTTCCGACATTTATCCAGTGCAAAATAAAATGGCCTTCAGAACCATACAAGTTGGACTTGTCTGTTTTTTAGACCTGTTTTGGATGACGTTGGATAATACCAAGAATAATGAGAATGACAAGGAAAATTTTAAAATGTCGTTGCCCCCCGGAGAATATAAAGACACTTATTTAAGCACTAGGAATTTCCCCCTTCTAATAAATCGCTGTATCCTCTCTCTTTCTTTTTTATTGTTCCTTTCTTGATCTAATGACTTCGCTTCCCAATTATATCTCTTGCTATCCTCCTACTTCGATGGACATTCTTGACCACAGGCACAGACTGTATCTGGTGAACGGTCTTATGGAAAAAGTGCCTTCAAGTACCGAGGATTTACATAGTGACGAGGTACCTCAAGCTGACATGTCCTTGGGTGGCCGCATGGTTCCCAAGCTGGGCTCAATATGCAAAGCTTCAAATGAGCTCCCAGCAATTCAGCATTTTCATGACTATCATCCTCTTCCACAACAACAGAACCAACAGTATCAGCAGCAACAAGACATCAATTTGGCAAATGATGGCATGAAAGATATGATACAGCATCTGATACAAAGACATCAGCTACTTGATAATAATGTCAACACGGGCATCCTCAAGGAGCTTGCTAGTCTTTTTAATGAATCACCAAGGACAGCACATCGACCTTTGCAACGCGCGCCACAAGTGTTTAGCGGAAAGACATGTCAATCATGCAAAAAAGCCCATTCTGGATGTGACCGGATGCGTCCTTGTGGCCGTTGTGTTCGAATCAAACAATGTTGTGTTGATGCTGAAGTCAAGAAGCGCGGACGGCCATCGATTGCGTCACGAAAATAAACATTTAAATAGTATCTTTTTTGTTGTAGAATAAAAGTGATGCCCAAAAAGGGAAAGCTTTTTAAATAACACATGTCCTTTTTTTTAAAAAAAAAAAAAGAGAGAGAGAAAAACTACAGGCATATCGTTGCAATGTATGCCTTGTAAGAAAGAGTAACATTTATTTAAAGCTTTGATTGAGCATTGCTGTTGATACAATCAGCAATATGCAGTGCAACCGTCTCGACTGTCACCATTGGGTTTACACCAGTAGCGGTAGGGAAAACAGAGGCATCAGCAACATAGAGGTTTTTGACTTCCCATGTCTCTCCTGTAGGCTTAACAACGGATGCCTTTGGCGAGATACCCATTCGGCTAATGAAATCAAGTTAGAAATGTTTTTGATATCTTTCCTTTGATATTTAGGCTTACTTTGTTCCCATTTGATGTGCACAAAACATGTTGAATCCATCACGAGGAAGACCATAGCTGCTTACACCATTTTTCCAAGCAACGTATCTCGGGTTATCTATCCTTGTTTCTTCCTCTTCCTTAAACTTGAATCCATCGACACCAAACTGTCCAGTGTGGACTTCGCGAGCACCAGCAGCAACCAAAATGTCCAATGAACGAAGTATTCCTTCAAGAAGAGATCGACGGTCTCTATTTGACACAGTAAAGTTCACAATGGGGTTATCATCCTTATCATAAGTCACAGATCCCTTAGAGTCCTTATCACGAGACAAGATAAGAATAGGAGCACAGTGTTCATAGCGCATCATGATTTCCTTATGCTCAGCAGCACCGCGCCAAGGAAGAATGGTTGAATAAGCACCGGGTTGAAGACAAGGCACCTCCAGCTTGCATCCATATCCGTCATTTTCCAAATTTTCTGCAACACCACTGACAGCTGTCATGATTGAGCCTTCAAACGTTCGGATCTTGCGATCAAAGAAACCGACGACAATAGTGCATGGATGCAGACGCAAGTTCTGACCAATATTCTTATTCTTTAAACCGCTGCGGATCAAAATACCAGGTGACTGCAAAGAACCACCAGCAATGACGACCTGACTCGCTCTAATACGAACTTTTTTGTCATAATTAACGAGGCACTCTACGCCTACAGCCTTGCCGTGCTTAATCAGGACCTTATTCACCTTGGTCTTTTCCAAAAAGCGAGCCTTATGTTGATAAGCGTCTCGAAGCCATGTGTTCATCGTACCATTCTTGATACCGGCTCTGCAGCCAGCATAACACGAGTTGCACTCGTGGGGTCGTCCGCTTGTGTTTTGCGGAATATCTGATACTGGGTATCCTAAAGCTCTACGTAAGGTGAGTAAAAAAAAGGAGAACTTTCCAAAAAAGGGGACATTTTACCGGCAACCATCGATTAGAACTTGATTTGAGCCGTTGTGCCTCACACCTTCTGTGGTTGCACCAATACGCTCAAATACTCTATCGACATCTTTTGTAAACTACCAACAAGTAAATATCCAAGAAAACAAATGACAGGCTTTACACAAACCTTGGGTGAAGTAAAGTAAGACAGTCCTTGCTTTGCCCACTCTTCACGAACAAAATGCTGCAACTAAAAACCAACATAAGACAAACTATCAAGCTATATATCTCTTTTTCTCTTTGGAAACTTACTTTAAGAGATGCACACCAATTGACTGTGGTTCCTCCACCAAAGACGCTGCCTGATGCAATAGAAATAGACCCGTCCAATGAAGGAGCAAATCCACCATGTTCATATAGATTCTCAAAACCATCTTGTTCAGTATGAATAAAATCATTTTCATGATAGTATTTTCCCTTTTCAATCACTAGCACTGATTTCCCAGCCTGTGCTAATTGACTTGCGACCACGCCTAGGTAACACAAGTAAAAACCTAAATTCTGTTGTATATGTACTAAATCTACCTCCTCCTGCGCCGCTTCCAACGATGATAACGTCAAAGTGCATGTTATCCTTTACTTCATCAAAGGACATCATGGGTAATCTCTCGGGTAAATCGTCATATACGGTATCGTTTTTAATGTCATAATGCATTGCATCTGTAAAAGCTTGAATATGGCCCTTGTATGCAGGAAGACAGGCCAGGGCATGAAAACTTTTATAGATCGTTCTTAAACTTGGTACATATGAGTTCTTCCAACCCAAGATAATCTTTTCTCGGTCAGCAAACGGGAGATTTTTGAATTCACTAAAGTAACCTGTTAAAGCAAACGTGCCTGGACGAGTAGAAAGGATAGACAAGAGCTTCATGAGCTCAACTCGTTTTGCAGGCAACACCGTATTGTTGATTAAACGAATGGTGGATGAGATTGAGTCAATGGATGTACTTGATATCTGACAAAAGCGTCTGACTTCTTCTTCTGTATGTGTCTTTTTTAATTTTTCAACTAGATCATCTGCTTGTTCCTTTGGAAGAGTGGCAATAAACGTGTCAAGGATGGCTGCTAGTGTTTCTTCTTGATGACGATTGAGTTCGAACGGAGGAGCTACACGGTAACGGAAGGGATCGATTATGGAGGCAGACATGTAATAATAAAAAAGGAACAAAAGAAAGATCAAACTTTTTTTTTTCTCACTATAAATTGATGTACCCCATCACGTGCCATAAGTGGGGCAGTTAAAATTGCATAAGGTTTTATTAACTGAATTTGGGGGAAAAGGGGTTATCCTGTTCCTTTTTCTTATAAATGGTAAAAAAACCCTGACAGATGTTACGAATAAACATAGTTTTCTTTTTGTATTGTTACGATCAAACTTATTTCTTTTGTGCTCTCAGTAAGTAGGGATATATGTTCTCTTTTCTCTCTCTTTCTCTAAAAAATAGAGTTTTGGTTCGGTCAGTTTATATTTAGCCTTGTATCTTCTTTAGAACTATCTCAACTAAGAGAGAGTTCTTTTTGATGACTTTTGGAACAAAAAAAACAAAAAAAACATGCCATTTTTTATACTTTAAGTGTTACTTTATCAAATGCTTAATGTTGGAGCAAGAAGAGCAGCACAGTGATGTAATAAAGATTATTTTATTCACAAGAAATAGTAATCTTTATATTACAAGGCTGATTATGGTGCAATTTGCTTATAATAGCATTTTCAGATTCTCGCTATTGGCTCCAAGACCATCTTAGCCAATTGCCCAACAACCAATGATCTTAACAGATAAGAGTAGATGCACTTTAACTGTTTGTCTTGTTCAAAATAGCACAGGACTTATAAATAGATTTACCATACAACAAGGCACCTACAAGTACTTAAGAAGCTCAGATTGCAAACCCTGGTGAAAAAGTTCAGCATGCAAAGAAGACCAGAGATGATATCTATGGATATCTAAACAAAAGTTTGTTAGACATTAGATTAAAGCTGTAGCACAGCCATACACACAAGCGATAAATGATCAACAACATACAGAATGAAGTGAAAGACAGTAGTCTAGACAAACTAAAAGACAGTATCATCAATGCAAACAAAACCGAGAACAATTAGGCGAGTCTTACTATTCAAATATACGAACAGAATAATAAACATTGACATACATTTATTCAAAAGAAAGAAACTGGCCTTCCCGAGAGTACGACTCATAATGTTCATTGGCCAGTCTCTTTCTCTCTGCATAAAGGTTTGGAGAATATGTACTAAAGTCTTGTTATGAATTTATTTTTAGCACGGTTCAGTGCGTATATTTCATTAGTCTTGTTCAACCTGTAGAGTTTATGAATATTAAAGGCATTTGTTAATATAAATCTTGATGTTTCATGTTTATTTCTTTAAATAAACAGTTCCCTAAATGAACGACTTGCCACACAAACAGATATTATAATTTGTACAATTTTGGCTTAACCCAATGTGATAACTAGGTCAAGTGAACTCACAATGTGTATAAATTATACTTTTTGACGTTCCGCACTAGCTTATCATCCAATTAAGGTCAAAAGAGTAATTCATATGCTAAAGCATAGGAATGTGATTTGATTGGCTGAAATGTGAACCATAAAGTAGTGCAGGGGCAGTTCAAGAGAGAGAGAGAAAGAGAGACAGAGACAGAAAGGACAGAGTGAAGAAAAGAAAAAAAAATAAATAAGGGCGAGTTTTAAAATCATGTTACAATTTTAACCCTTTTTTCCCTTTCTTCCTTTTTTCTTTTATATAAATATTTTTTTTTCTTCTTCATTAACAAAATGTACAATAACAATCATGACTGGACATTTCATCAAACAAACAATACCGATACCAATGACTTTATGGAACCTTTACAAGAACCAGTGGCATTCGAAGGTATTTTAATAAATATGAGGAATATATAAAGACTGGCAACTCAATGATGAATGCCAGACTTCCAATTTAGCCTAGGACTTGATCCTGGATTTGCTATGCCTATTCAACTTGATATACCACCAACATCTATGGACAATTTTCAATATATACCACCACCTCCAGCCCCATATCCACCACAAAATATGTCAACTAATACATCTGTATTAAACGAGCAAGACCAAAAGGTCTTTAGTCAATTCTTGGACCAATTTTATGTTGACCCAAACATGCAAATCGATCCTCAACCCTTCTCTTTATATACTAATAGCCATACCTTTGATGAAGAGCAACTGCGTCAGTCTAGCATACTTCATTCACTTGACGAACAAAAGAAAGCATACAAAGATAACCATATCCATCTCATCAATAGTAATCATAACAGTAATAACATTAGTCATATTGGTACTACTACTACTACTGCCATGTCTACTACTAGTAGTACCGGTACTAATAATGCTATCAGCAATAATAATAATAATAATAATAATAATAATCACAGCAAACCAAACGCTATCTATCTTCAGCAAAGCAATGCGGTTACGGCCCCTTATATTATTCGCGAAAATATTAAAGAAAAGCAACAAGAACAAAAGCAGCAAAGTGGCAGCACAAACACAATGAGCAGTAACACGAATGGCAACCATGGCAACGGCAAGAGTGGAGGAGCGATTAGGAGAGGGAAATCAAGCAAGGAATTATTGACAGAAGAAGAAAAGAGAAATAATCATATTGCATCTGAACAGAAGAGAAGAAGTATGATTCGATCAGGGTTCAAGGACTTGACCGAGATTGTGCCCACATTAAAAAACATTAACAATTCAAAAAGCACAGTTCTCTTTAAGGCAGTGGATTATATTAAATACCTCGAAAAGCGAAATAGAAATTTAAGAGAAAAGATAAAGAATTTAGAAATAAGAGTAGAAGTAGAAGGACGAATGGGAGTGTTGGGCAGGCCCCCACAGGCACAGAATCATCATGTCATTTCCTCTTCGTCATCTACACAAGCCGCTCTACTACAACACAAGACACAACAAAGACAACTATTGGAATTACAAGAAAAACTACAGCACCATCAAAAGTTAATCAGTCAACAGCAAAAAAGCTTCAATGATACCAACAGCTCTTCTTCTTTTTGGCATAGCGAAAAGACAAAAAATGAATATGAAGACGTTGTTTCTGCATAACCTTTTATTATAATCTTATTCCCCCCTTCTATTTTTTTTGCTCTTCTTGGTATATAATAAATTTCTCTCATGATGATCTTGATGGTTCACGTGCATACTTCTTTAACAATTCCTCTCGCTTATTTTCCCAAGTGTTATGATCATCCGATTGCTTTTTTTGCTGAACAGGTGTTTTATTCCAAGAATAATAAGTAGATGACCGCCTAACATGCCTTTGGTTACTGTTCAAGCGTCTATTTTCTTCTATATCCTCTCTTTGTCCATGTCTCTTAGACATCAAAATTACAAAAACAAGGCAAACAGCTATGCCCAATAGTACATCTATAAAACTATTACTTTCATCATTCATTTTATGATAATTGTTATTATATACACCAGAAATATTCTCTTATAAAAGATATCGCATCCTCTATAAACATTACTAAAAGTCAAGGAAAGGAGATTCATGCGGTCAAGTTGTTCATTTGAAGCCGAAACTAAAAAAAGTGACGTTGCCACCAACAAGCTTTTTTGACCTGTTTCCAAATTTGCATAATATGCTGTCTTTTCAGAAACTATTCGCACACAAAATAAAACCAATAACAATTACATTTTAGTTGATTATCAATCCTTTCTTTATTATTAAAAAGGCAAAAATTTTGTCTTTTGGAGAGAAGAGAAGATAAATGTGGTCAACACTTGTAAAAAACACGTAACTGAAAAAGCTGCTAGAGACTTTGTTTAAATAGCCCGAGCTTGGCTTCTTTTTCCTTTCTTCTTTGGACCAAAAAGCAAGATCAGCTATTCCTCAGCTAGCCCTAAGGTATGTTATTTTCTTTGCTCTTGCAAGAAACTGAGATGCAGTATTATAGATCATAAAATCGAAAACAGTACTGGTGCTAGCTGGGTAATGTAAGTATTTAATATCAATGTAAATAACTGGTGCACTAATCATTTCTTTATTCGTCCTTTTGCTTCTGATGGGCTCTCTTATCATTATTTGTGTCTGAAATTATCAGTGCGCGAATAATTTGTGAGTAAAGTGTAACTCTAACAATCTTGATTACCAATCTTTTCTTTACCGCTTGAAAGACAACATAAAATGAGCTTGATATTTTTGAGACTCGTATAATGTAGTCAACATTTATAAGTAATACATACTTAGACAGAATCATTTCTTTTACATCTCCTTCTTTTGCTTCTTGTGAACTGTCTTTTATCATTTGTTATCTTATTTGAAGTTGCTTGATGATAATGGAAAGGAAAGTATATATTCTTGCAATGAGCTGGGATGTAATTATTTAACACGCTACAAGGAAATGAGTCTGCAAGTACCACGCTATCGATTACCACATTCATGATTTTGCTTAGTTGTTCAATTCTTATGCGTGATATAATAAAGTCAATATCAAACGAATCCATATTTTCATGAGGATAATATTAAAGAAGTATATATCTTCATTATGTCAAACACAAGAGGAATAAAAGAAAGCAATACAACCCCCTCAATTAAACAAAAGAGAGCTTTACAGCAAAATAAAGTTTGTTTTTTTACTATATTTGCACTCTTGTACACCACTCTTACACAACTTTAATCCGCCTGATATCTTTCTTTTTTTGGTTACTTTTTGGGAGTGAGTATTGTAATACTTTTCTTTCTTTTTATTCATAATGGAAACAGCAATAAGAAAAGCAACTAGACTAGACTATAATCCACCAAAGCAAAAGCACCTATCAAGTACTATTTAATATATTTTACCATGTACATTTACTTACTCCCAAGGACAGCTTTAGTGAGTTTGACCTATGAGAATCCGGGAAATGCTGTGTATATAGTTGATCTATTGGAGAGAAGATTACGAGAAAACTCATGGATAGTAAGAAACAGAAACAGAAAGAGAGAGAGAGAGAGATACATTGATACCTTGTATAGATAATCTTTAAAGTGTTGATCATTCTTCATACTTTAATGAGAAATGGAGATGGCGATAAAACTATTGCTTATATAGAAACAAAGCCCTCAGCACTTGATACAACTAAACTACGTGAAAAGTCATCAGGTACATTAACAATATATATATAATATCAAGACTAATTGTTATTGTTGCTGTAGGAGTGGTACATATTCAGAATATATATCTTTACACAGCTTACCTACAGCAAAAAGTCATCGCCTATCGTCAATCAAAGATAGATTATATTAAGGACACAATGGGTAAAAAGGAAGGAAGGTTGAGGCATTTGTCTATTTCCGATGGATTATTAAAGGAGACAGTATCAATTCAAAAATTGATTGGAACTCTTTTGAAGTGCAATGTAAGGAAGGAACAGAGTTAGAAGATGTATAGATGCTTAATATTGTACCTAGTTTCTGTTGGATGACGTAGATAATAATATTAGCTTGTATGCGTTTCGATTATTAGTAGAGGATTTATTGGTTTTATTCCAGGTGCTAAATGAAGCTATTGTGAACATTTTAGGCAAGATCTAAAGACAGAGTAATACTCGTTTATTTATCCATTCATTATTTTAGAGCACTACTTTGCAATGAAAAAATCTGATGCAAGAACATCCTTGGAAATATATAAAAGATTTGCTAGACAGACCGAAGAAACAATATCCTTTTTAGACCGAGCAAGAAGACTTCAGCATGAATTAAGTATTTCTATTCCTTCCGTGAAGCATGTAACTATCATTATAAATTTATATCACTCACTATTAATCTTTGCCCGAATAGGCGCCATTATCTTTGGCAGCAGCTTTACAAGAGTACTTGGATGATCAAAACCATGGTAATTGACCAAGCTTCATGCTATATGCTTGTTTTAATTTTTTTTAAAAAAAATAGGAGCACAGCAACCTCAACCTCAGCAACAACAGCAACAGCAACAACAGCAACAGCAAGTAGTGACCAGTACAAATAATGTTCAGCAGCCAAAAGAATTGATTGATTTCTTTACAAGTCTTGAAAATGAAAAAGTAAACATATTCTATAATCAAATAGTACCTGTGGCACCCCAACCACAAGCGATACAGCCCATGGTCTTACCTCAACCTACGGGACATAACCCATTTCGACAATCGACCTTACCCGCAATACCGGCGACAAACTATGCCAATCCTTTCAGGGCAAGTACAATGCCTCTGATACACAATAACAGTGCGTCTTTGCAACAACCCATGCCAACAGCAAACCAGCTTATAATTCCTCAGGCGACAAGTACACATAATCCTTTTGCGGCAAATAGTAGTACGATACCTGTAGCATCACCCACAAATCTAGGTAATAACCCATTCGGTAACAATAATCAACAGCAATGGGGACAACAAAGTAATACACTGTTTTAATAAAGTTTATTTAAAAATAATAATAATAAAAAAAGATGTATATTATTCAGAAAATCGACATTCGACATTCCATAGTGAGCTAAGTACACAAGGTGCTCTAGTCCGTCCGCCCGTCGAATAGTTTTCATCATGAAATAATACATACTTTTTTTAAGCAATATCACAAAAGGAACCCCTTTCTTATCTTTTTTCCTTTTCTTTAAAAGAAGAAGAAAACAAGGCAAAAGATGGATCTATCAAAAAAAAAAAAAAAGGATTAGAAAATGATTCCAAAAAGGGATTATACGAAGAAGAGTCAGACAAGGCTGATAACTTGTATGTCTTTATAGGCAACACAATTGTAATTCAGAAGTGATAAACGGACATTTTATCTTCATTCTCTTCTTTGTAGTTTGTCAATATTTACCTTTTGTGATGTTACTGTACGAAAAAAGATAAAAGACTAATAATTAAAGCAAAACATTAAGGAATTTATACTTGTCATAAAAAAATTTTTTTACAAGTGACTGTTGACTGAGATCTTTAACAAACCTGGGCTCAAATATGGTGACAAATGGACTATATTTATGACTTGGTGATAAAATGTCTTTTAGAACAAAAAAATAAAAGAGAGAGAGAGAAAAGCGATGAATTATATCTTTTTATGGATATAAATTAGAGAGAAAGGGGGTAATAGAGATGGTCACGTCCCATTGACTGGACAGTAAGATCAGTTTAATCCAATCAGATTCATCAAATTGGCGTGCATGTTTGAACTCTTTACAAATAGTTGAATAAACCATATCATGACTTTCCCTGGTGATTAAGACATGAAGATAATCTCTATTGAAAAGCAGATACTTGCACATTTTCTTTCTTTATCTCTACGATGTTATCATTGTATCAAGTATTTCAACAACCTATCGTCCCTGCGTCCTTTCTCGGAAGCTTTCTCTTCCTCGGATGGTGTTTTTTCAGTATTAAACCAAATCTAAATATGAAGCAGACAAGTTGGATCTTGACGCTGATCAGTAGCCTTGTCTGCACGTTTGTTTCCATACCTTTCGTGATTCAATTTATGCACTCAAAATTAGATATGCGGCTACTGGACACTGATAGCAAGTTCCACACTACCTTCACTTGCTTTTTTATATCTTATTTAATATTAGATCTCTCTCTTGGATCTATTTATTATCGAGAACGAGTTACCATCATGACCGGATGGGTACATCACTTGTTCTACATTGCTGTCTTATTTTGGTTTTTAAGGTTGCAAATTTCCTCATTATTCACCGTGGCATCGATATTGGAACTGCCCACTGTAATACTGGCAATAGGATCAATGGACCATGAACTGAGATCAGACTTGCTCTTTGGCTCGACCTTTTTTCTTCTTCGACTGGTGGCCCATGCCTGGATGACGATTGCCTTGAAAAGACATCATAGGATCAAGGTTATGTGGGTTATCGCATTAGTTATTTATCCCCTTCATCTCTATTGGTTTTATGGTAAACTATACATCCCTGCTTCTATTCAAACACACTCATGTTCTGATAGGCATTGTACGTACCAATCTAAAGAAAAGAAAATTAAGGCGTATTGTAGTAAAGACAATAAGCAATGATGTATTCTAAATAAAGCATGAATGTACCTGATTCCACGTTGCACAAAAGTTTAAGTGCTTGTAAGCATATATAAAAAAGAGTGGGTGATAAAATAGCTAAAATTAACTGGCTACTTTTTCAAAAAAAAATGCTGTTTTTTCTATATATATAACACTACGTCTGTCCCCTTCTTTTTTTTATTTCTTTCTTTATTTATTTACTTTCTCCCTTCTTTAACATAAAGCTTGTAAGTGAAAAAGATAGTATGACTGAATTACTTATAAAAGAAAAAAGAAATGTCAGAGTATGCCGGAATTCGCTTATCCTGGGAAAGAGTTATTGCAGCCGCCAAAAATTTACCAGACCCAGCCTCTGTGAGTCAAGAGATGCAAGCTGAACAAGACAATAATCGACAAGAGAGATACTTGTTATTCGCATTAGAAAATATATTTACGATTACTAGTCAAGGTAATGATTTAAAATGCGACACATGTCTTATAATAATAACAACAATCACAATAGCTATCGGTTACACAGCTTTCATGGCAACCATGATACAGGAACTAAGTCACAACTGCCCTGTTTCCATGGCGTTTCTAAGACATGTTGTTGATAAATCGGAACTCCCTGATGGTCAGACACTAGAGACCGTATCAAGGATGATACTCGAAAAATCGTGCATCAATGGCTATATCCTTTGGATTCTATTGGCTAGAAAATTTGCTGGTCATTTAACAGAGTCACTCTGGTCAGATAAAGTATATGACCATTTAATAAAAGTTATTCAATCAGAAAATGACGCGAAAAGGCTATATGCTCTATTAGCCTTGGAGTCATTTGCAATGACAGGTAGATTATATCTTTAGTTTGCATATGTTATATTAATATCTAATACAGGAAATATCAAAAGATACATCATGCATCGTGATATACAACACACGCTGAATTGCATATTGTTAGACTGCAATTCTGCATTAGAATCAACCCCTTCGCCTCTTCACATGGCTCCCTCTAAGCGTGGGCCCCCTTCACGGAGACCTCGTTCAATCAACTTTTCTGTTTTGCTATTACCTTTTATGAAAAAGAAAAAGATACCCATTATGACAGTAATGCACAAAAGCACTTGTCAAAAGAAACAATCAAGACTGTCTCATACCGCTCTTATTCACTGCACAGATAAATGTCATGTGCTCTATCAGACAAAATACTGTGTTCAATGGTCTCTAATGCATGTATTCACAGATGACAAGGTAATACGAATCAACCAAATCGTACACACATGAATTAAAACAGAGAATAGAACAGAGCTCCTTTTGCAGAACCCAAGCTGATAGCGCATCATGCTTTATATGAATTTCGCAACGATAACCCCTTCTTACTACAAACAATTCGCTCATCGACTATGATGACAAATCGTACAGGCGTTTGGTATTATGAAGTTATGCTTATCACAAGCGGTGTCGTCCATGTTGGCTGGGCGTCTCCTTCCAGCCAATTTATACCAGAGCAAGGATACGGTGTTGGTGATAATATGGTAAGAAAAAAAAAAGCTACAAATCAAAAAAAGGGGAGGCTAATGTATCCCTAGAATGGTTTTGCCTTTGATAGTTACCGAGGCGTTCTATGGACCTCGGGTAAAGCGGTCTACCCAGATGATAATCCGATTGTTTGTCATGCAGGCGATGTTATCGGAACATTACTCAATCTGAAAAAAGGATATTGTTCCTTTTTTGTAAATGGACAAGAGATCGAGCTTTCTATCGAGCTCACATCCGCCACCCAGATGTTTCCTGCTGTTAGTTTGACCAGTCATCAGCAGATCGCTATCAATTATGGTGATCGCCCTTGGTTTTGTCCACCACCAATGAAAGCAACCCCCGTATGTAGTCTTTATAAAGAACGACAAGTAAACTATCCGGATATCAGCGATAATGATGATTTACTGTGCATCTTGTGCTATGCCGAACCAAGAGACACTACCTTGTATCCTTGTTTACATGAGCAATTTGGTCAGTCATGTGTAAAGAGCTTGAAGACATGGTAAGTTTACTTTATTTTTTTGTATAAACGTCATCTCATATTGTTATAGTCCGCTGTGTCGTATGGAAATATACAAAAAGAAAAAAAAAAATAAATATGCAGGGGGAGAAACAAAGGCGAATGATATAAGATTATAGAAAATAAAAAGAATGCTTTTTTTTCCCTCCTTTTTTCTTACAGAAATGAGTAGTCATAGTAACAACCGGACAGTAGAAGATTCAGTATTATTGTATCGTCTTCATACAAATGAAGTTCAATTACGTACTTTAGCAGTCATTCTGAGTCTAACGGGCGGGTTGGCTCTTTCGTTTGCCGTAGGTGTAGGTATATTGATTTATTGGTATGCAAAAAGAGGCAACCAAGAAAAGCCCCCATCACCACCACCAAGTCTATCATTACCTGCACCCTTGCCCATGTGCTTATCAAGGTTGACACCTGAACCTTCTGCACCACCCGCTACAATAGACACCTTTCCACCACCTCCACCCTATGACAGACAAAAAAATTAAATTTAAAGTATCGTTTAATGTAAAATAATTCTAACAATAACAATAAATTGATAACCAAGGCAGGGATTCAGGTCAATTGTGATAAAGTATTACCATTAGGGCTTGGCTTGCTGCTGCTTCCAAGTTTAAACATACGACCGAGTGATGATCGAAGGGAGTAGTTGGATGCAGATGATTTGGGTTTCAATGTACGTTTATAAGAATCCTATTCAAAAAAAAAAAAAGATTAAATAAGATGTTATTAAAATTGAATAAAACTTACCAAGTATGCAATTTGAGGTTTATTGAATGCACCTCGTCTCTTGCTTCTGATGAATTCAATTGCATCTAATGGTTTCATTCCCATCTCTATTAAAGCAATAGCTACCAGTACTGGGGCTCGACCTAATCCTGCGACACAATGTACAGCAATCATGGGTGCTGCTGCATTATCCTCCTTTGCCCGATCAGCCATTTCTTTTATCTTTTCTACAAGTTGTAACCATTCACGAACGACTTGAGGTGGAGGCTATGGATGATGATGAGTATAAATGTATTATAAATATCATATCACTTACCACTCCACCATCTTTGAATGGTAAATCTAATACATGAATGTTTCTTTCATTTAATCTGTTAGCACTATATGTCGGTTGGCAGCATCGAACAACTGCAACGACGTTAAGTCGCATAAATTCTTCCATATAAAAGTCCAAAGTTGATTCTGTTGGACAATCAAGAATCAAAAAGCGCAATGAAGAATTGGGGCAGTCAATGGCTGTGAGCATACGTCCTAAAGGTGAACTGTTTCGAGACATGGATGAAAGTAAGGTAGATGGTAGAATGTAGAGTAATAAAATAAATAAATAAAAAGAGGGAGACTATTGTGAAGATATAAATAATAATATAAAAATAAAAACGAGGGAAGAGTCTTCTTTTTAAAATACTAAGCCTATTTATGGAAGTAACCACAAAGTAATAAGAGTAGGAGAGTTATTGGGAAGAATAAGTTGATCAATCTTGAGATCAAGAATACAGTTGAACATAAAAAATCTAAAGAAAAAAAAAAAGAGACACACTCAGCCCCCGACGGAATATGTACGGTTGACCTCATAGCTCATTACCTTTTATGGAAACCTCAGTACGACTATTTAAATGATATCAGAAAAACTGGTTGATCTACAATAGAGACATTGACTTTGAATGGTTATTGCATTCTTTGTTTTATCATGCATTATTTTATGATTATTTAAAGCGGCCCACTGATCTGTGGTTGACTAACAGACGAATAGAGTACCAAGAATTTTGCTTGAGATTACAACTGAGGGTGATGCTCTGACGTTGACTTTTTTTTTTTTTCTTACTAAAGAAACAAGCAGCTTAGATCCAAACATTACAGTTGATCTTGTATTGCTCTAATGAAACTCGATACACTAAGTTACATGTGATGATGTCATTGGACTCTGAATTTGTCTCTATGCTAATCCAAGGCTCAATAGGGCAACTTAAGGATATATCCTTTTCTCCCTCTCTTGTGGAGTATATACTATATTGGTAGTTTCACGAAATGATGGCTGTAAGTTGATCACAGTAAAAGCCACTTTGGTATATATTTATATACACAACAGAGTATATCAATCATTCTATTGGTGATATGTAAGAATTGATTATCATGATGACAGACTCATAAAACAAGATAGTCAAGGTATATTGTCTGATACAGCAAAAGGCCTTGCTTTTTCTACATTGCAAACATAAATAGGATAGCTGTGAAATAATGAAGCGCGTCATTAGTTGTAGCTTTATAGTGAAATTTAAGCTATTAATAATAACACAGGTATATGGTTACAGTTACAACATATTTATTCGTAAAGAAGTCAGAAAACTATCGAACTGAATGGATTCTTCTTTTCTACTTTTAGTCATCAAATAATTAAGCAAGGAACCTTGATCCAAAAGAATAGAAAAAAAAAAACCAAATGGGTATGTCATTTATTTACCATAATAATTTAGATGGAACAGTTAGTCGACTACTGCTATCACTATATTCATAGCTATAAACAGATGAGTCTTCATCGTAATCACTCAAATCACCACCAAGCTCATCAAATATTGAGGCTGCATAATTGAATTTATCTTTCCATTCTCGAGCAGAAGCTGTGCTCTCGGGCAATAGATACATGCGACATCCCTGATCTCTTTGTTCCGAAAAAGCAAACCCTCTTTCCTCTTTATCAAGTGCCTTTGAAGTAAACTCGAGAACGAGTCCACGCGAACCAATATCAGCCCAATGATCCTCCTCATCTTCTTCTATGCTTGACACGTTGATGAATTGATCTAACGGGATTACATATAAAGGTGATCTACTCTTCTTGTATTCAAAGTCATACAGCTCCAGTTGTGTGGCATGTAATACTCCCCAAAATCGCTCCCACCTCTGATGAACATGAGTGCACTTTTCGATTGAATCAATATTAGACTTACTTGAGACTGACCACTGTGAGTGTGTACGGTGATATAGTCTTCAAAAAGCACAGTGTTGTTTAAAAGTGTTTGTGATCTACGACTGACATAGACTCCTTGAATGACCAGTAGCTGAAAGTCATTACTTTGTCCTGAATTAGGATCACTATTTAGTACAAATCGTTCTGCTGACTTTTGTTTCAACTGTAAATGGATTGGAATTGTTTCTCTTCCGAGACAAGTCTCATTCTGTTTGCCACCAAACAAAGATCGGTTCTTGGCATAAACAGAGATAGTAGCTGTCGTGGGTTCCTCAATGTCACTAGTAAAATAAATAACATGCAGTGTCTCTTTTAATAAATACTTACAATAAAAAGGTTTCGTCAAAGTGTACAATGGTGCTATTTTTTCCTGATTTTTCACCAGTTACAAAAGATCCTGCACAAATGTCATCATTGACTTGAACTGTGCATTTAAAGGAGCGAACTGTTAAAAATAGGTTAGAACACACACACTTTGGACAATTAATGCTATTGCCTTTCGATGTATCAGTAGCAGTCACTTGAAGAACTACAAACAGATATGTGTGAGATGAATAAAAAGAGGGGATAGAGAGAAAGGAGGGCTTACTTCGTAAATAGAACATCGCTTTGGGCTTTATTTCTGACTTTTGAAAGGCACAAGCTAAGGATAATTGATGACTATATATATAGTACATATATATATTTGATAAGTTTCCTTTTGATTGAACTAGAATCAAGAAAAGAAGAGAGAGAAAGAGAGATGACACTTACTATGTTTTGCTACGCTTCAAAGGCTTTCTTAGGACGATCGAACGGCTATAATGTGATAAGGGATTTTTCATGCTGTTGCTGAGTTGATCCTCTTTTATCCAATTTAATTTCTCTACTGGTAACTCTTCCAGAGTATGTTGCGGACCATTGTAATGAACCAGTGGTTCCATGCTTGGATAACGATCATGGTTCATATCCATGGTTGCTGATTTAGGCATACCAGAGGGCATAATTCGTTTATTCATGCGTACATTAGCACCAGAGATATGATGTATTGTCTGATTGACAAAGTTACGGAAAGAATCAGTCGATATCGAAGGCTTCAAGCTAGCAGCAGCAGATAGCTGAAGGCTACTAAAGAATTCTGTCCTGCTGAGTTTACTTGGCTTCTTCTTGCGTGGAGGACTGGGCAATAGAGGGTTACGAAGGGTTGGAAATGAAGACATAAAGGAAAAGAAAGAAGAAAGAAGAGAGAGAAAGAGTGAGAAATATGCTAGAATATTAAGCTCAGGTCATGTTTGCAATAATTCAGGAACGTTTTTGGTTTTGTTCAAAAGCTTGCGTCCGATATTCGTGTCACAACTAAAAATTTAGCTTTTTTTTCTTTTTTAGTAGATGCTGCCTACTCACAATAGGATGAAAAACGGCCGTAGGGATTTCTATGTTGACGACAAGTATGAAAAGATTCATAAACAGCGCTGGCTTTATGTAAATATCGTATTTACTTGTGCATGTATGCTTATTATTTATGTATACAATATAGTCTCGTAATGCCATCTTTTGTATCAGTATCTTGATCATCTTTCTCTATGTCAACAAGTACGTCCTTGTAGAGAATGACAACAAAGTGTTGGATGATTCAAACCAAGGCGCTGCCGAGATAAAAGAAGAAAAAGGTAGCCTAACTGACTTGCTATTTACTCAATACCCTCCTGTTCAATCACTTCAACATTCTGATGAACTAACAGCTCAACGTCAAAAGAGAGTTGTTGATGCCTTTCTTCATGCCTGGAAAGGTTATACCCAGGATGCGTTTGGAAAAGATGAATATCAGCCATTAACACATACCGGTCATAACTGGGCACCTGGAGGCATAGGATTGATGCTGATCGATTCACTTGACACTATCATGCTGATGAACCTAACTGAAGAATACAACCAGGTCCGTAACTGGATTGCTACTGAGTTGGATTTTAACAAAGATCAAGACGTCAATGTATTTGAAACGACTATTCGAGTCCTCGGTGGTCTATTATCCGCTTACCATTTATCAAACAGTGACCCGCTTTATTTGGAAAAGGCACAGGACTTGGCAGACCGACTGTTACCTGCCTTTGATTCTAGTTCAGGCATACCATTTAATGGCGTTATCTTATCCACTGGACAGCCTTCCACACATGGTGAATCTAGCAGCACGGCTGAAGCTACCACCATTCAACTGGAATTTAAATACTTGAGTTACTTGACAGGTGATATGAAATACTGGAAGGCAGCGGAGAAGGTGATGGATCGTATGCATGAATTGACAAAGGATAACGATCATCAAGCTTTAGATGGACTTGTGCCAATTTACATAGAGTAAGTTATTCTCTTGCTCTACTTCTTGACAACTAACTGTTGTGTACCTAGTCCTCATCATGGCAACTTTGTTACTAAAGAAATCAGATTAGGCTCGAGGGGCGATAGTTATTATGAATACTTATTAAAGCAATATCTTCAGACGAACAAAACTGAACCACAGTATCGACAACGGTACGATGCGGCTGTAGAAGGCATCAAGAAGCATCTGATACAGTACAGTTATCCTAATCACTATACGTACATAGCAGAACTGTTGGATAGAACCACCCCTGGCAACCGACACCCTAAAATGGATCATTTGGTTTGCTTTATGGGCGGTAACTTTGTTCTAGGAGCAACTGAAGGAGGCTCAATACAGAATGCCAATATACAAAATTCAGATGATGTACAATTAGGAGAAGAAATAACAAAGACATGCTATGAGATGTATAACATGACGGCAACTGGACTCGCAAGTGAAATAGTATATTTTAATACAAACGATCGATCTGAAGGGCCTGATATGGAGATTCATGTGCGTGATAGACATAATTTATTGCGCCCAGAAACCGTTGAAAGCCTCTTTTTACTTTACCGCATGACAGGCGATGAAAAATATCGTGAATGGGGATGGAGCATCTTTGAGTCATTTGAAAAGTATACAAAACTACCTGAAGGAGGGTATTCTGCTCTTAAGGATGTAACTTTAATTCCGCCTGTACGCGATAATCGAATGGATACCTTCTTCTTGGCGGAGACATTAAAGTATCTCTATCTTTTATTTAGTCCTAGTGACTTTATTCCACTTGAATATTACGTATTCAATACGGAGGCGCATCCATTGCCAATTTTTACACCAAAATAAAAAATTTCACATGACAATTGTTCCCACGGCAACATATTTATTGCGGGGTAAAAAGGAACTTGACCTTTTTTTTTATCTTATTTAAACATATAGATGCAAGTGACATTACAACCTACTGTAAAAGCAAATAAGCTACAAAAGAAAGAACAAAGTCTAGAGTATGTCATGAAATCAGGGCTAGCAGGTGGAATAGCAGGTTGCCTTGGTAAAACAGCAATTGCCCCCATGGACAGAGTCAAGATCCTCTTTCAGGCAAGGAACCCACACTTTGAAAAATACTCTGGTAAATAAACATTGGTTGCTTTGACCCAATTGATTTACTCATCTCTTATAGGGAGGTTTACTGGTGTATTTGGAGCAGGAAAGGAGATTTATAGAAAACATGGTATCATAGGATTGTTTCAGGGACACTCTGTGACATTGGCCAGAATCTTTCCTTACGCAGCTATTAAGTTTGTAGCCTACGAGCAGCTAAAGATTATATTAATGCCCACTCAACAGCAAGTAACGAGTAAAAGACAGTTCATGGCAGGGTCCTTGGCAGGTAAAAACATACAAATGCGTGATGAAAGTACGGCTTATTGAAATGAAAATAGGTATTGCTTCTGTACTATTTACTTATCCACTCGATTTAATTCGTGTCAGAATGGCTTACGAAACGCAACGATCAGGGCTTGTAGACATGGCTACTACTATCTATAAAGAGCCAGCCAGTCAGAAGCTACGTCTTTTAAACTTTTACCGAGGATTTTTACCCACGATTGCGGGAATGACACCGTATGCTGGTGTCTCCTTTTGGTCTCACCACATCTTTACACAATTTTGTCGACAACATCCGGTCATAAGCTCTTATGCCCTGATTGTTCCTGGACAGGAATACGATTATAAGGCGCCTCTTAAGCCTTGGGCAGAGTTGGTATGTGGAGGCCTTGCAGGCTTCGTTGCTCAAACGAGTAGCTATCCGTTGGAGGTAAATTAAAAAAGAAGACAAAAAGGAGTTGGCGCTGACAGTTTACAATAGGTCATACGCAGAAGAATGCAAATAGGTGGTCTATTGGATCCAACCAAGTTTGTGAGCTTTATGGCAACTGTGACGGACATCTATCGTGTGAAGGGTATCAAGGGTTTTTATGTTGGATTAACTATTGGCTATATTAAGGTTGTTCCTATGTTTGCCATCAGTTTCACAACTTATGAATATATGAAACGACTGCTGCACTTTTAAAAAGATGCTATTCACGTAGAAAAGGGCGCTTTTATAGATACCAACTTGTTTTGTAAATACCATTAATCTATCATGATAGCTATTTATGGCAATAGAACCCGCATGTATTATACACAATAAAGCTACGACTGTATACATTGTCATTCAATATGTCTGATTAGAGCAGGGATAATTTATGATCAAACAATGCTCAGTAACAGCTTAATTATTGAACAGCCTGGAAGCTTTATTTTCTGAAATAGCTGAGTGCCAGGAAGCACTATGCATACTTGTTCTGTTTCTAACTTTATATCATATAACTAATATATTTCGTGCATCTTAAATATTCGATATTAACATATTAGGATTTCAAGTATAGTGGCTATAATCTTGATACGTTTGTCTAAAGTTAAGTGTAAGGTATTCGACGAGGTGACTTGACTAAGGATGGTAATTTAAGCGATAGAATAACAAAATCAAGCTTAATCGGTACTCCAGAAGCTTGTCAAGGACATATACATCATATTAATTAGTTCTTTGAATAATACAAAACAGATAAAATCGATTTATAATTGACCAAACTTTTTATTGTATTGTATGCTGATCAAGATTTTCGTGGTAAATGAATAAACTTTTAACACTCTAAAGAATAACCAGAAACTTCATTCACTTTTAAAATACGGTTTTTTCTAAAAGCAACGTCGCATAATTCAAAAATTTATAATACATAATATATAAAATACATCTTGGAACGATATTACTTTCTGGGAATAGTGTGTATATTTGCAAACAGAAAATATCAGAGCACGCAAAAGCGATTTTTCAAACCACGTAAAACTGCAGTGTAACTTGGCCTGGTTGACGCTGACAGCGCGTTCTAGATCCCATCAGTTATGGAAGCGTCACGTGAGTTAGACAAAAAGAGGGAAAAGGGGAGGGCTAGGTCCCTTACACAACCACGTTTATGATAGGGAGATCGTCAGTTATCTGCTGATCCCTTGTTCCATGACCTGAGCTACATAATAGATGACTGTACGACACAACCCTCCTTGGTTCAGGTCTACGATGATTGTCCCTCTGTTCTTTGTGAGTATGACGCTGATACACCATTAGCCCCTTTTTTTTTTTAAAAAAAAAAGAAGCATTTGCCTGCTTATGTCATAAAACCCTGCATGATATTTTTTTGTTTTAAATTAGGCATTTCTCTGTCTTTTGTACGTGTCATTCAGCTCAATTCTTTAATAAACGACAAACTCAATTCCACATTGTCTTTTTAAGAAACCGAAGGCCCTTTAGTTAAAGATCAAATAATGCTGAGAACTAAATGGTTACCATGGATAAAAATAGGCATGGCAACTCAACGTAATAATTGCCTTATGCACATAATTAAAATTTAATCAATTGTTATTTTTTATTACATTTGTGATACATCAAGTCAACTTGTATTCTTTATTGTCGTTTCGCAAACTGTATAATGCTATTATTATTAACTTTAACCATCAAAATACTAACTGAGTTATATGAAGGCAAAATGAGAACTCTTTACATTACACTGGGTTTCAAAAGAGGGGTAGACTTCGTTTTAGGTTCTAAAGCTATAAATCCACCCATTTTCTTTTTCTTTTCAACTGCTCTATCGGTTTATATAATATTTATTCTCTCTTTTTTCACATCACATAATGAATCCTAGCATCACAACTGTCAATGAAAATCAATACTTGAAGCAAATCAAGTCAAGTAGATTAACTAAAAAGAAGAGAGCAAGAGCAACTCCTGATCAAGTATCCGTGCTGGAAGGCGTTTTTGCAATTAATATAAGCCCCAACAGTAAGCTCCGGAGGCAATTGGCAGAGCAGCTCAATATGAATGAACGATCTGTTCAAATCTGGTTTCAAAACAAACGCGCAAAAATAAAGAACTTGCAAAAAAAGGCTCGCTTACAACAAGACACTATCTATTTACCTTCGCCAAAAACTCTTTCCTCGTCATTTATGCTATCTTTCCAAAAAGATATGCCCTTTCAATTCACAGCCCATTCCCAGCAGTACTTTCCTCAGTCTAATATCAATATAAATCATGCGTCACCCTACTGTAGTTCATTAGTAAACCCACCAGGCGTATATAGTTCTTCAAATGTTACGCCTAGTCTACATAGGTACAGTAGCGAACCAGCTTCTTTTAAACCTGTGCAGATACCTGTTCAAAGATGCTCTTCGTATTTTGAACTACTCACTGGTACTCATTACAATCAGACCAATGTTGAAAGCAACCTTTGCCTTGCACCGTCACTCTCTCCTTCACCTGATGAAAGCGCAAACAATTCTAGCTTTATCAGACAATTAACTGAGACAAGCGATGAAAGCAATAGCAATAACACTATGTTTACAAAAAGTGTGGATCTCGGTGATTCCTCAAGTAACTCACAGTCTACAGACTATGAAACAAATACGAAAGTAGCAACAGGTAATTCTCTACAAATGCATATATTTATAACTTAGTTTATTGATCATGTCTATATTCCCAGATACATGCGATAACTCGTTTTCTAAAACAGCAGTTACCGGCATGCCCCTGGATCATAGAATACATGAGATAACGCCTCCGCTAACGGAGAATGCTCATCGAGATCCGGATAATCTATTCACAAATAACCCATCGCTGCTTCCTTTGTCGTACACCTCTAACACGAACTGTCATCTTTCAGCTTCAAGCCTATCGATAGGCACGTGGCACAGATTTGGTCTTCATGCATCCCATCTGACATGCTTGTATGACTCAGGACAACATTCTTTTATATGGTACATCACGGACAACGCCTATCACTTTAAGATGCAAATACCACTCGCATCCATTCGCCTTATCGAATTTGTAAGGAACTCATTCTCTGCAAGGCATACAGATCAAACCGGGGTTTACCAGGACCAATCTGATGTTCATTTCCATATGTGCCAGCCTCCTCTATTCTATATGCGATACCTGTCAAATAAAGGTACGAACTCGGATCATTGGATTCAATGCAGTGATTTTACAGAAAACAAGCAAGCATCCGATCACTTTAGACATATAATAAAGGGAGAGACAGAAGCTATTAGACAAGATATACTTCAATTGTGTCACGTGCATGAAGACGTTCGAAAACTAATACGGATTGTTGATAACCCTACGCCCTCTGGTCAAAACATATCGCGTTTGGATTCTTTGCCAAGTATGCCCGTCTACCCTACCCATGGCTTATGTCCACCTACGCCGTCTCATTATGGCTTGCCATCATTTCCTACTTTATCTACATCAAGGATATCAAACGAAGAATTTCTTATCATTTAACAGCTCTCAACATTTACCTGTATTATACATTGATATATGCATCCCCCATAGCCCTTTTCTATACGTAGACAGATATTTTACATATCTACTCTTGAATAAAAACATTTGAAGCGGCAAGGTTACATATGATACAAAATTCATTGATACATTCCTTGTCTTCCCACTATCTCTTTCTCTCGCTCATTATTTTACTTCTTGTCATTATAGTTTTTCCAAAAAAGCGAAAGAGTATAAAGACTTATATGAGAATGTAAATAAAGTTTATTTACAATGCAATTAATAGGACAAGCTAATATTATCATTCATTATCTATTGGCTCAATATTAAACCACGGATCACTCTATTACAAATACAAGATATTAGCTACATTAACTAGATCGTGTATAATATAAAGCTACCAAAGCCTCAGCCGCAGTAGGGCGTTCTTCAGGCTTTACTTTAAGAAGCCTTTTTATCAAATGTTTTACTAATCATTGAAGAGAAAAAGATAAGCTAAAGCGTCTGCATAAAATGTTCAATCATACCTGTGTGCGATAATGAATTCCATACAGGTAGTTGCTCACTGTGGTCCAAAGATCCTGATAAAATTTTTTGCTCAATAGATGCATATTCATCACCTGATAATAAGAGTTAGTAAGATGTTTTATGCGTATTAGTTCTTTTTGTGTGTATATATATAACCGTAAAAAGGCGGATGACCACAGAGACAAACATACAGAACAATACCCAAGCTCCATATATCACAAGAATTTCCGTATCCACTTTCGGTTGTCCCTTGCAGGCTTATTATTTCAGGAGCAACTTTTTTGGACAATAAATAGATGCAACCTAACGACACAAAATGACCTTACCGTAACTAGGAGATCCGCAATAGCTATGTAATAAATTCCTCTTATGAAGCGCAGCAAGCCCAAAGTCGCATATTTTGACTTGTAGGTTAGCTTTACTAACCATCAAAACTGTTTAAAAAAGAGGTTAATCACCATATTTTTTCTTTTTCTTTTTTTTTATACTGTTTTCAGGTTTAATATCTCGATGAACGACACCTGCTTGATGTAAAAACTATAAAGAATGAGTGAATATACTATTTGATCAACACTACACATATCAGAAGTTGCACCAGTAATTGAACTAGTTCAAGCTGATTTCTCTTCTGTTAAAGAACAACTATTCAAAGACTGACAACATTTTGATAAATTGAGGGGAAAAAAAAAAGGAATCAATAGCTTAAATTTGCTGTAGCTTGATATATGTGCAATTTCTAGTGCATTATCTGATTCATATAGTGTTATTTTTTTTATAGCTTACGTTCACAGCAGAGAGTAGTTGCCTAAAGATGACGCGAGTGTGTTCTTCAGAAAGACACTTGCTGTTGACTATAAGGCTATATAGATCACCCTCAGGAAAGCTATTGTATGAGTGTAAGCTAATGTTGTATTTCTTATGCTGTTCCATAGCAACTCACTATTCCATCACCAAATGGAAATACTCTGCTTCGTCATACACTTTAATAATGCCTACGATTCCTGGCTGTTGCATACAAAAAAAGAGAGAGGAAGAGAGAGAGCAGGAAAGAGAACATACGTATTAGACCATTTCTGTCAAATAAAGGCAACAAATCAATTACTGACATGTTTTTCAAGCGACATTAATATGGCAACTTCTTGCATGAACTGCTTCAATGTTTCCGGTCTGCTTGTAAAGCTGTCTTTACGGATCATCTTAACAGCATGCTGAATATCTTTGTTCTTTCTCAAGTTGGCAACTATAATTTTTGAATATAAGCTCATCCCAATCACCGGGCCAAGTTTATAGTCGTCTTGGAAAGTTGGTATTTTGGCTTTGTTCGGAGCAAATATGATTCGAAATAGCGTATTATTGGATATTCTGATGACATCGTTTGGGTGTAGGCAGTAAGAGCCTCTAGTATATTCCGGCTTAAAATTGGTGCCATTGACTTGAATAGGTATAGTGGATTCTCTGTCAAGTGGTATAAATATATAAGTTAAATAGACAGTAAACACACACACCAACGCACCTTCTCATATCCCTTAGGCGCACTTGAAGCCTACTATTGTTGTTGATATCGACGTATACTTCCTATGTGACTGGAGTATAAGTAAGCTATATCATGTACAAAAAGTGCTGCATACAGGGTATATTAGACAGTGTTGATCTTGTACTTCTTCATCGTTGATCCTAAGTAGTATGTTATTGTTATTTGATATCATATTTCTTACCAAATTCTACCTAATGTTGCAAGCCTCACTCGTACCAATAAGGTATCCTGGGCGCTCATTTGTATCATACTGATACCTTAGGTATTCCGATTTGCATGTAAGGGGGTTTAGGCTATGGAGAAATGCCCATGCGTCACTATGACTCTCCCAATCCAGTTTCTTAACACTCCTCTTTGGTCGTTCAAAATAAGATTCTTCAACACTACTGGAATATATAGAGAGCTCTTCGTTTTGATCAGTATTAAAAAGACTACTACTACTGCTCCTGATACTAATAGCACTGCTGCTACTACTGCCACTGGTCGCATTGTGACGTATAATATCTGGGTTACCAGACTTGTGAATCCTCTTTTTCTTTATGCCGCCATGAAGAACACCGCGGTGAGAGTCGATACTTTTTTTCTTTTTGGCTTTATCTTTTGATGAATAGCTTTTGTCGGAAATAGACAGATCAGAGCTACACCTAACTAATTCCGACACATCTTCTTCCTTGACATTCTTACGAATGTCTTGCCTGCTTTGATTTTGTCCCATCTGCAAAAGTTGAATTATAAAAATAAAGAAATAGAAAAACTAATAGTGGAAACAGGTACAGGCTAGTTAGTGCAAAATGCAGCGTATATGCACGTGATGTCTAATTGATATGATTGGCTCTTGGTTGCAGGTAAACAAAGATCATTATGCTAGTGTCAATCAAATTTAATAATCAATACACAGACAAGAAAAATGAAAAATAATAGTGTGATGTTAGGAAAGAATGCCAAATGATACAGTACAATTAAAGGTAAATAGAAACAGCTGTCATGCCCAAGCAGCAGAAATGTAACTACCTTCCCATAAAATTCTGGTTCCTCAAAATAACGCCATCAAATCATGATGCAGATTTCCACTACTTGATAGCTTATCTAGAGATAAGCTTAATGAAACTACCAACAGATCTGCACTAATCGACACTAGATGTCGTGACTTGATTTAAGACATCACTAATTCAAGAAGCTTCATCAAAGCTTAAAGTGGTCTCAAATTCTGAGACTTCCGCAGAGTATCGATGTCAGCTGTCTTTTGCCACAGCCCTCAGTATCTTACACACAAGTGATTTAGAATCAACATCTGGATCTATCTATTATTTTACTAAGTAGTCATGTTTGAAGATTGAAGCACTTAATCACCCCTCAAAAAAAAAAAAAAAAAACTAAGGAATCGTAATTTAACGGCTGCACTAAATTTCAGGCACTTTCTCACGTTGATAATAAGCACTGGTCTTTGTCTAGAGTATTTTACAAGGCAACAAAGAACGATCGAGAAGAATAAAAAATCATCCTTAGGATAATCTGTGATGCATATAAAGCTTTAAGAAGGCTGGATTAGCAAGTTTTCAGTATCTAGTATGCATCTTTTTCACAAAGAGTACTTTGTATTTCCCCTCTTAAACGAGTACTGCATGAATTAATTACGGCCAATGAGAATTGAGTTATGCGCTATATAAGAATAACACATTTTGTGGCTTATTTTTACTTTATCACTTTTCTTAATCATGACAGCTGTGCCTAATACTGCAGGATCATGGCGATCATTAGAGACACCATTAAGCGAATCAATGTATAGCATTTTATTTATTACTTGGTTACATATTGTGCATTCATATTAAAAAGTCATTAATAGCTTAGAAACATTAGATTCTTTTGGATTCGAAACCATGACACCTGTGCAGGCTGGTGCAATTCCTCTGTTTATGAAGAATAAGGATGTTGTGGTTGAAGCAGTGACAGGTTCTGGAAAAACATTGGCTTTTGTAATACCTATTTTGGAGAAACTTTTGAGAAGAGAAGAGCCACTAAAGAACTATGAAGTTGGAGCGATTATTATTACGCCAACAAGAGAACTCGCACAACAGATCTCGTCTGTCATCGATCAGTTTGTTGATACTCATGAATGCAAGGATCAGATACATCCTGGGTTATTCATAGGCGGTACGACATCACTCGCTGAAGATATTTCTACTTTTAAGAATGACCATCCTCGCATCTTGATCGGCACTCCTGGTCGACTTGAAGAACTCTTGACAAAGACTGGACAATTAGTCAATGTCAAAGAATTAGAGGTGCTTGTCATGGACGAAGCAGATCGACTCTTGGATATGGGTTTCTCCAGACAGCTAAATACAATTATAGCACAACTGCCTAAACAACGTCGTACTGGTCTCTTTTCTGCAACAATGACCGATGCTATTTCAGAACTAGTGCGTGCTGGTCTCCGTAATCCTGTACGAATCGTAGTCAAGGTTGAGGATCTCTTGAACAAGGGCACAGTGCAGCGTACACCGGCTACTTTAGAGATTGATTATTTAGTATGTGATGCAGATCAGAAACTACTGCAGGCAGTACGCATATTAGAAACAGAGTTGAATCAAGCGGATGGCGCCCGAAAATTTATTGTGTACTTTGCCACTTGTGCGATGGTAGACTATTTTTACAAGGTGCTTAGTCGCATGTCTTGTTTAAAGCCATTCTCTCTTCATTCTCTCCATGGCCAAATGGATACTAAACGACGAACCGCCACCTATAGTTCTTTTATAGAATTATCACCAGCCATTCCTGCTGTTTTATTATGTACGGATGTTGCTTCGCGAGGTTTGGATATTTCGGATTTGGACTATGTCATCCAGGTTGATCCACCTCAGGATCCAAAGGCATTTTCACATAGATGTGGCCGTGCTGGTCGAGCAGGTAGAAGAGGTAAAGCGACTGTTTTATTGGTGAGAGGCCGAGAAGAGCTGTACGTTGATTTTTTAAAATTACGAAAGATTCCCATTCAACGTCGACGATACATATTGCCCAATGGCGAAACAGTGGATAATAGCATCAAGGACGATACACAGGCTGACGAGAAAGCGACATCAGTGCAGGTGCAGGATCCTTCTTTATCCAAATTCATTACAGATATCAGGTCGATTGTCAAAACAGATCGAGACCTTCATGATCGTAGTATTAAAGCATTTGTATCATGGGCAAGGTCATACTCAAAGCATGAAGCAAGTTATATCTTTCGAGTAAAAGATATCAACCTGGGACAGTTAGCTATGGGCTTTGGATTATTAAAGCTACCTAAAATGCCCGAGTTAAAACAGCAACAACAAAACTTGAATACATTCATAGAAGAACAATTAGACTGGAGTTCCTACAAATATTCAGACAAAATGAGAGAGGCCAAGAGACAAAGAGAGATGGCAGAACAAAAAGAGAAGCCTCAAATACAATCAAAGAAAAAGAGTGTAGCTTGGTCTGAAAAGGTAGAGGCTAAGGAAAGAAAATCAATACGTAAAGAAAAGAAGCAAAAGAAGAGAGAGTATCTGAAAAGAATGCAAGAAGAAGAGGAAGAAAAAAAGAAGAGGGCATTGGAGGATGATGAAGATGATTGGGAAGAGTTGGCAAAAGAAGAAAGACTGTTCAAGAAAGTGAAGAAGGGTCAACTTGATAGAAATGCGTTTGATGACATGTTTACATAATAAACCTTTATTACCAAACAGGGTTTTTCATAATGGCATTTGTTATCTGTTCAAATAGGTGTTTGCTGTGGTTCGTATCAACTGTCTTTAATGCGATACCTAATAAAAGCGGCCTTGTTTCATGAGGATTCATTGAAACAATCGCTTGAAGAATAGAGGTTGCATATAATATATACAAGTCACTCTGTGGACCCATAGAATCACCTATTAAAAATTTGGTTGTTGTAGGAAATGTGTCAAGAGTGCTTATTCTATGAGGAGCAGCATCGAGCGAAGTATGAATCTAAATAATTATTAAAGAGTAATTTATGATGTCTTCTCTTACCAAGTGTCCTATCTTCCCATATTGCGTGACAACAATGAAAATCTTGTCAGAGAATCCTTGAATGAGGATCTCAGTCTTTACATCATTTACATTGATCGCAACTTGCTTATTTATTATAGGAAATTCTTTTTTCTCCATTTCAAGAACAACCCATTGCTTTGCCTGTCACACTTGGATTATTGAATTATCCCTGGGACTCTTTTTTTTTTTTTTCTATCTTTTTAACAATGGTCAAAATCAGTAAAGCATTCGCAGCTTCCTTTGGTGCCTTAGCAGGTGGTGCTGCAGGGTTTTATTTATTAGAAATGTACAAGATTCAGTCAAAGGTACATTTAAAAAAAGAGAGAAAAAGGGGGGCTAGAGATTAAAGAATTAAATAGGAACAAAGATTAGCAATGTTGATAGAAAAGAAAAAAGAATATGAACAATTACAAAACAAGGAGAACAGTGTTATTAATTCTTCACAATGAGAATCAAGTCGCAATATAAAGAACAATTAATAAAGTACGATTACAGTCCTGTAAGAATACCCTAAAAAAAGAATTTGTTGGACAGACAGCTTGTAAACAGGTTAAAGCTGGAGCCCCTACGGTTGAATACGACCAATTCGCTAGGGGGAGCATCAGTTGTGCTTGAATCATCATTCTCAGCGCATTCAACTAGGATTCATATCCTCATTATTATTCTTTTATCAATAAACATCAATGTACATCTTTCAAAGTCTTTTTGTTCTTTTATGTTTATAAATTATGAGTAATAAAGTCATAATGTATGTATAGCTTTTACTGATTTATTTAAAGAAATATACTATGAAATACACAGCATGAATGCACAATAATGTATCATCTGCAGTGATCTCTTATGCTTTAGTGAGGGCTTTTAAACAGGGAATAATGTGACGATTTTTCTTAGTAGTAAATTAAACAATAATGGCAGTAACATCGATAGAGACTTCAGGTTCTTTCTCCTTTCAATGTATTGCCTTAGACGCACCTACTTTAGATTTCACTTTAATAAAGCTATAAGATATTCATCAAGCAGGTAATGCCTCCCCTTTCTTGTATAATATCTGAAATAAATTAACAAGATCTATTTAGATCTGGACTTGATGAGAGAACGAAGAAAGTTATGGAAGAGATCAAGCAGATAGAGTATCAGCTACAGTCAAGATCAAAGCAGGTTCATATTTATAAAATAAAACAAAACAAAAGATCACTGTTCTAATGTTAATAGGCTGGTAGTTTACCTGAAAAAGTAAGCAACGAAGAGATCGAAACCATTTACAAGGAACTTTCTGCACCCACCCCCTCAAGGCCAAAGATTACTTCTAATTATTTGGAACAATTACAGTTGAAATTTTTAGATACCCGTAAAGAGCAGCTTGGGGAAAATATGAAAAGACAATTACCGTCAAGTGAAAAAGTGGTTGACACAAAACTGACATCGACTGAAGAAAAGTCTTCAATGCAAGATTACACAGTTCAAGATTTTGAAAGCTTAATTTATGCAAACGCAATAACCAAAAGACCCAAAGAAGCAGAAAAAGCATTCGATTTGATGCAGAAATACAATATATTACCCAGTACTCGAGCCGTGAACCATTTGATTGATGCTTATGCTAATGCTAACGATTTGCCTCAAGCCATATCAGCATTTAAACGACTACGAGAATATAATCTGAAGCCTGATATTTACACTTACAGCTCCATCATAAAAGCATTCGTTGCTAGCAAAAGAATAGATGACGCACTAGTCATTTTTGAAAGAATGAAAAATAGCTCCATTATTCCATCACAGGTAAGCATACTGCGAAGTATATAAACAGTAATAGACTAATTGATCGAATAGCCTATATTCGCCAACATCATCAGTGGATGCTTAAAAGCAAATAAAGTGGAGAAGGCATGGGAGGTGTTTGATACAATGAGACTCTCTTATCATCAACCTGACGAAGTTTCATATACTTTAATGCTACATGCTTGTGCAAAGGTAGGCTCAATTTCTTTTTTTAATTAGTTGCATATTTAGATTTATTTGATAGAGAGGAGAAGTGGAAAAATCCTTGAATCTGTTTGAAGATATGGTCAACTATCAATTGTATCCTACAGATGTCACCTTTAATGTTCTTATTAATGCATGTGCAAAGCGTCCTGATTATTACCATGAAGCATTTAGCTTATTAAACCAGATGGAAGAGCACTACGGATTCCAGCCTGATAGAATTACATACAATACATTACTTACGGCCTGTTCAAGAAAAAAAGATTTGCCTCAAGCTCGAAACATATTAAATGTTATGTGGAATGATATGAAGGAAAAGGGTGCAGATAGTCTATTAGCACCTGATGAGCAAACTTTTACTAATTTACTCTGGTGTTATGCAAGTTATCAACCAACAAGAAGTGCTGACAAGATATCAGAAACAACAAGCTCTTCAACAGCATTGACAACTACTGAATGTTTAATATCTACTGAAATACCTCGAAAGAGATCCGATGTCGCCAAAGAGGCCAGGTGGCTCTTCAAGCTTGCTGTCTCTCACAATATCCAGGTCACAACTGCCTTGTTGAATGCTTATTTAACCGTACATATCTCACAGAAGCAGCCAGCTGAAGCTGTGAATATTTATACCAAGATGTTTGATAAATTTGCAGTAAAAAAAGATGGGTTCACATTTAGTCAAATGTTGGAGTATTGTTATAAACAAAAGGATGACGTGCTTGCTTGGAAAGTATGGGACGATTATCAAACCTTTTTGGAATCCAAGCACCAAGAATTTGACATTAAAGAAAATGTGGAAGAGAGTATTATGGAAAAAAAGGCCAGACAAACTAGAAAAGAAGCTGCTGCTGTACGAGAAGGTTGGACTGATCAGCAACAGCGAGAGTTATGTGTTACTATGGCAAATACTCTTGCGAGGTAAAGTCACTGTAAAAAAAGAAATCAAGAAATAAGGATTAATATGTATATAATTAGGGTAAATGATTTAAAGAACGCCCTGGGCATTATTGCTACCGAACTACGAAGATGCTCGAACTTGGGTGCTCCTAGTCTAAGTGAACTAATGCCTGTTTATAACAAATGTATTCAATTAGAAGATGAAGAAGCTAGACAAACACTGATACGCCTTTGTCCCAAGAATAAGACATTTAAAAATTCGAAATTCAAGCGTGTATATACTTGATTATGTAGAAAATAAAACATCCAATTTTGTCAATAGAATATCTCACACAAAGCTGTAGTAAGGGAGGGATAATACAACACTTACGTGACGTTTAAAACCACATCCAACGTACATCACAAAAAGTAGAAATCAGCTTTGTTTTTGCTTTTCCAAAGACTTGCTGATATAGTTTATGCTTTAAAAGTTGCAAAGATAACCTGAATGTTGCTTTGCGGCAAGCTTATGTTAATTTCCTCCTAAATAAGAATTTTCACTACCAAGAAGGCGCTTCTCATCTTCTTTATTGTAGAGCTTCACGTGCTATTAAGCCGCTCTCACAGAAATACCAGCAGATAAACCTACTTGTCATGCAAACATGACTTGTTCTATAACAAGATTCAGTAACTCTCTGTGCACGAAAAAGCTAAAGCAACAGCAAGAAATAAAGCTTATTGAATCAAAAACCTCCTCAGTGAAAGCAGTTGATGTAGAAAAAATGGACAACTCCATATTCAATATATGCTGAGACATATTTCCGTATTGTTCAAGTTTTATAGTATCAAGTCAGGCCCCTTTTAATTTCACAAAGAGCAGACTGCCGAGATGCTTGGTTTGAATCTGAGTGCCGAATCGATTAAGTGACTGCCTGATGTAGAATTCATGTGAATTTCCACTTTGTAAGCAAGTATATTGGTATTCCCCACACTTTTCTTCCTTTACACATTACAAACTAAACAACTTAAAATGCGTGAAGACCTCATTTCATCAGCTATTTCATTCTTATCTGATCCCAAGGTTCAATCTGCTCCTTTAGCAAAGAAGGTCTCTTTCTTGGAATCAAAAGGAATGACCTCTGAAGAAATTGAGGAAGCTATGGCCAGAGTCAACGGGAAGAGTGCCGCTGTTACGACTACGACAACCACTGTAGGTAATCCACAGCCAGGAACAGCCATGTATCCAGCAGCAGTACCACCACCTCTCCCCACTAGACCTTCTTACGATTGGAGAGATATTTTTATTGCTGCTGTCTTAGCAGGTGGTGTTGGTTACGGTGTATGGACACTAGCAAAGGTAAAGTACCGTGGGACAGACGTGTAAAGAAGAAAAGAGCTAAGCTTCTTTGTTCATTTAGCGCTTGTTTGGTCCTTGGTTTCAAGTCCCAACACAAAAGGAGCTGGAAGAGGATAAAGAAAAATTAGATGCTCAGTTTCAAGCAGGTAAGATGATACAAATATAAGCATTGCCATTGGTCTAATGATTATTCTCTGTTTAAAGTGGAAGATTCCTTGAAAGAGATTAAAGATCAAACAAATGCTGCGCTTACAACTGTGGCTTCACAATCTAAAAAGGTAGACGAATCACTCGCTAGTCTCGAGACTGTGCTTAAGGATTTAGAAGAATCTGATGCAAAGAGAGATGAAGACTTTAAGAATGTAAAGAATGATATAGAGTCCTTAAAGGAACTTGTGCCTAAGGTAACAGGGAAGCAGGTTAGCAAAGAGATAAAGTCTAATGGGATTTTCTGGTTTTATTTAGGCATTGGAGCGTAATAAAGAAGCACAAAATGCAGTTTTGGTAGACCTTCAAAGTGAAATGAAATCGTTAAAATCACTTTTACTCAATCGCCGCACAACTCCCAACTCGCTTGAGCCGGCATCAAGTGCACCCACCTCTCCTGCTACAGATGGACTATCTTCTCGTCTTTCTGCTACATTAAATGCTGGTGGTTCTCGTGTTGGTATTCCTGCCTGGCAAATGGCTGCTACCCAGGCCTCCTCTTCTTCAAATAGTAACAATACCCCATCTAGTAGCAATGCTGAGGCCTCTACTTCAGCCAATGACGGTGAAAAGAAATAAAATCTGTCTTTTAAAATTTCAGGGGAAGCTTTTGTGTCTGTGTGCAAGTGTGGCTGAGATGCTTGTTTTTTCTATAATTTTCCTTTATAAAGATCATGGTCAGGTAAAGAATGGATCTGATCAAGTTGTCAATCAAAGAGACTTAACTTGAATATCAATAGCTTTCAGTGTGATGGTTGTGGCGATGTTGTAAAAAAGCCTAAATTGCCTTCTCATCGTTGTCGCTCAACATTTTCTTGCATCGATTGCTCTGTTACTTTCCAAGGTCGTGCTTGGGAAACACATACCTCATGTATAACTGAAGCCGAAAAGTTCCAAAAACACATTTATCAAAACAAGGTAACACCCTTCATTTATATATATGATCATTTTATTTATATTATTTGCAGGCCCAAGGTAACGGTCAAAACAATCAAAAGAACAATAAAAAAGCCGGCAAGAATCAAAATGGCAACAGTACCAATGACAAGAAAGAAGATAAGCCTGTTTCACTCATTGATCAATTGAAAAAGAGAAAAAATGAAGATGAAGCTAAAGAAGAAAGCGAATCCAAGAAGCAAAAGACTGAGGAAAAGAAGAAGGATAAGAAAAAGAAGAATGGCTCGACAGATTGGAAATCAATTGAACTGGATAAAGATGTATCAACGAATCTAAAGCTTGCATTGAAGCATGTACTGAAGGATGGGGTGAGTATGCATTATTGATCATCATGAAAATGACTGACCAATTTATTGTGTAGCCAATTAGCATACGTGATGCCAAAAAGAAAGCAATAAACTTAATTGAAAAGCACCCTAAGTACAAAAAGGACGAAGATTTGAAAAAGACATTTGATAAAGTGCTCAAAATTACCCTTGTAGACGACACTGTTACATTCTTGTAAAAAAAAAACTTGAAAAGTGAATAAATCATGACTACATTGTATAAAACATAATGAAAAACACTATTAGACAATAAAGAGTTAAGAACAAACCTATCGGGTTATTTTAGATGATTGTTGTGTCCGTTGTAATGATCAAAGTGCGAAACAAGCTAAACAATTCTCCGTGTGTCTCTCTTTTTATTATATAATGCTTGATCTTTCTCGCTTGTTAATCTTCCTACTTCTTTCCTATTCTTCGCTTTACACAAAGAACAAGGAAATATAATGGCTGATAGTGTTGCAAGCAGTGACGATTCCTTTTATCATTTCACACCTGCAGATGAATTCTCTTTGCAGATAGCGCATATCTTCAAGATTATCGATCGACATTGGAAGAAGTTGATGTCAATTTCTATGAACCATGTCAGAGTTCGAAGGCCAAGTGATGAAGATGATCATTCAAGACAAGAAGAGGAGATTAAGAGAGCTTTCTATGAGCGTGAAAAAATCATGCTACAGTGCATGGAGGTACTGCTCCAGGCTGTTCGCGAAGGTAATACACTTTGCTTTGCTTTAAGCTCATCTCATAACTAATATCCCTACGCAGGCACTGGTTTCCTTGCGTTTCTCTCCGTTTTGGTGTTGCATCTTAAGGCTGATAATCCTGTATCCTTGGCCTTTATGCATCATGTCTTTGAGAAAGCCTCTTTGCCTGCTCTTGACACAATGGACCATGCTTCCGAAATGATCATTGGTAAGCTGAACAAGAGGCCAGGCAGACTCCAGCGTATGATTTCTCTCTTATGTGGCCGCTATCGTGAAGCTGCCAAGAAAGAGCTTGTCCGCAAACAGCTCATAAACCATTGGGTTATCGACAATTTTATGCGCCCTATCGTGGACCCCATGGCTGTCAAGACAAGACAGAATGCTGCTATTGTATGGGCTTTGCTTGCCAAAAAGTATGCAGGCGAAATGGCTTGTCATATCTGGACAGAAGAGGTTGGCGACATTTTGATCAAATCATTGGCTAATCCTCAAGAAGATGTCTTGGTTCGTTTGTTTTGCTTGGTAGCTCTCGAAAGGTTTGCATTAACAGGTAAATAATTTCGAGTTCATGAACCATGAGCATTATTTATAATCCGCATTGCTTATAGCTTACTGCAAGGATCGCATCTATCATCATGACCTGAACATTCATCAACTATTGCTGGCAATCGTTGCTGAATGTAGTGATGTCCTTCAGCGTATCCACTTGCTCAATACTGGAAAAGATCAAGCTCCAACTCAGTTGAATGTTCCTCTCACTGGCCCTTTGAGAGATGAATGGGCAAAATACATTCAACTCAAGTCCTGTTGCCAATGGGCAGTAGATCATACTTTTGGTGACCCTCAAGTGGTAAATGATTGCATGAGGAAATATATATATATATGTATACTCATTATATTTTACAGGTAAACCATTCTTGGGACCTCAGTCGTTTAAGATTGATCATGAATCCTTATGATGCTACTTCTGGCTTAAAGATAACTGATAGTGGTTTAATGGTAATGTAGAAACGATTTTTATGGTGATTTATAGTTCTGACACTCAATCAGTTGCGTAACGATCTGAATCATTTTGAATCTGTCCGGGGAACTTCATGCGTCAGAAAAGGCAAATGGTACTATGAAGTGGTCATACTTACTAATGGAATCATCCAAATCGGATGGGCTTCTCATAATAGCAAGTTTTCTCCGGACGAAGGCCATGCAGTAGGCGATGACATTGTAAGTTGTATCTTTGTCGTTCATGTTTGAGTATTGACTGACTTTATTCAAATAGAACAGTTTCGCTTTTGATACATTCCGTTCTGCCGTCTGGGTTGCTGGTAAATGTCTCTATCCTGTTAGCATACTGGATACTAGGTGCGCTATTGGTGATGTGGTCGGTTCTCTTTTGGATCTTGACAATGGTCGCTGTACTTATTACGTCAATGGCAAACTGATGCAGATGACTGTCGAGTTCAGATGCATCCCAGGAATCAACGAACATCATTTTGGTCCTAATGGATTTGGCCTCTTCCCCGCCATCAGCGTTCATGGGCACCAACAAGTACGGGTAAATTTTGGTGATGAACCTTGGATTTATAAACCGCATGTTAATTATCCTTACTGGGGCATTAGCCAAGCTGGTGTATTGGATCCTGCCTTTAGAAAGAAAGTCAAATATTGGGTGTATAAAAGAGGCAAGACCAGATTCAGTAATGCCTATTGTCCTTCAGGCGGCCCTGTATTGCGTCCTCCTTCTATTGTCAATGTTGCTCCTAGTAATCGAACTCCTCCTCCTTTTAGTGACTCTTCAAATGTAGACGATGATAATTTCGATGATATTCAGTCACCCCAATCGAATAATGGAGATGATGACGATCTTTGCACTATTTGCTATGCAGAACCAGCCAATGTTCGCTTGCTTCCTTGCAAGCATCAAGAAATCGGTGTCAGTTGCGCCGCTATGATCAAGAAATGGTAAGTTTAGCTCTCTTATTATCTTCAGTGTTTCTAATCTTCTTTTTATTATAGTCACTTGTGTCGCCATAAGATTACAGGGCGATGCATTCTTAAAACCATTTAAATAATAACCAAATAAACTACAATCTTACTACCATTGATAAATAATAACTATCATGGCTTAAATCATGTCTTTCTCGTTTTATAAAGCCCTTTTAGAGCAGCTTTCAGCAGGGAAAGTCTGTTTGTATGTAAACGTTAAAGAAGAGAGAAATGCATAGTGAAATTAGACGATATGCCACTGCCAGATTGAAAGAAACACAAACAGAATGTGATACATTACTGATAGACAAATACAGCAAAAGAACATTGAATAGACCCAGTTCTTTTCCTTATTATCTCATTTAGACGTAATGAGTATAAATTGTACCCAGGCTATTTTGAATGCATGAATGGTTATTATTCTAATAGAAAATAATGAATAAGAAAAAAGCTTTTATTTTACAACAGTTAATGTCCATGCATATATCTTTATTGCACCGAGCATCTTAACTAGGCTTTCGAGCATTACCTGTAAGCCTTGCGTGCTCACTGTCATCCAAACTAAATCAATAAAGAATTAGATATTGATAATACATAATTTATAGTTATCCTTACTGATCATCGTCGTCGTCATCATCTTGATCAACATGCAGTAGAGCGCTTTGGTCTGTTCCTTTTCCTCCCCTGCTATTGTTGTATCGGTTATTTTTATTGATATCAGAGAGCTCTACTTTATGAATCGGATGGTTATCTTCTTCTTCATCAGTCAACTCTTCTCCTAGTTCAAAAACAGCAGACTCATCAACCATGTGACGTTCTCCGCGTATAGGGCCAGTCGAGTGTCCATAACCTTCTTCTTCTGCTCTGCGTAATCGCTCTTCCAAATCAAGCGCTTCCTCTTCGTCTTGACTGATCTGCATTAGGCCGTATCTGGCATTGTTACTTGTGGGTCGCCATAAGACAACGATAACAAAGAAAACAACAAAATACAGAATGTTGAGTAAGCCGTCGAGCATGAACCATCGATACTTCCAGCTCTTTGCTGCCCATTCAAAATCCACATTGGTAGAATAAGCAAACATGTTGAGAATGAAGATCACAACTACAGCAAACACAGAAAAGACCAAAAGCCGGTAAAGGCGCTTGTACATCAGTACCTTAACATGCTGCTTACGGATTTCCAAGTCACGAATGGTGCCAGTAATCGAATTGAGTGTCCAAACGTAAAAGATTGTCATTGTAATTGATAGAGGGAAAATAACAAGCAAGATCAAATAACCAGCTGTTTCAGGAGATAGTAACATGGTACCCAATGTATAAACTACACCACATGCGAAATGCGTGCAAGCAAGGATAATGCAGTATCTCATCGTTGAACCTAAGCTTGGTCTATGATGATGATGTTAATCATACAAGTGTCCTCTCCATTTGGCTATATATAGCCCCATTTTATATACGAATGTACTTACTTGACAACACTATAACCCATACACACAATCAACAACATGAAGAAAGACATACTAATGCAAAATGGTAAGCAAAACATGCGCCTGTTCGAATGATTATATGTATGCACATACCTGGTTCTTCCAGCATTGAGTAGTGCAACAAGAGCAAGTAAACCATACGCTAACATTCAAATATAAATACCCATCTCTTCCTATTTTCTATATCACTTACAAGCCTTTCCAGTTTGATTGTAGGCCTCCCAGTAACCAAAGTTAAACGCCATTTCTACAACGAGATAAAAAATAGCTGCAGACAAAAAGTGTTGAACAGGCAATATGTCTCTCCAATAACGGAAGCTTTGTACGAACCAGAATATACCAACCGCCAAATAAACAAATGCAAATACACCATAAAGCTATATACAAATACGATTAGACTCCTGAAAACACAAGCGCGTTTTTTGATTTACCAAAAGCTTTGGATAGTCAACCGCAGGTAGTTCGCCATATGGGAATTTCCACTCAACCCAGGCTTCGACAAAGCTGCTTGTTTGATTGACAGCGGCAAGAGCCACGCAGTAATAACCCGTTTTATCCACTTTATATAATGCTGCTTCTGTTTGATTTCCCTTTAATTCCAATGTTTCAGTATATATGCTAGTTGTGTTCTTTTGGTCTGATGGAATTGACATAATAAATTGTCCAAGCTGCGAAGACTTGCATAACTTGCGCGAAATAGCCTGTCTGTTACATACATAAGCCGTCTATGGTTCATTGTTAGTCTCTATTTCTTTTTCTCGTCTGTTTAATATAAACTTACTTCGCCAACTTCATCATCATATGCTCCTAGTTTATCAAAGTCTTTCCACTCATAAATAAGTAAAGAAACCGTGCCTTGAGATTTAGGCCCGATGGAGACTAGATTAACAATAGGGTAAGAAAATGTTCTCGTTGATAATTTGATTTACTGTACCTTTAATATATGGCTGTGTGCCTCCAGGAATCGATTCCTTACTCCATACTCCAGAGCAAGAAGTAGGTGAATACTCATCGCTAGTCTATTTTCTATATTAGTATGTGTCTATTGAATATTTAAGTATATATATGTTAACCAACCACATAAACTTCTACTGATGTCGCTAACGAAAACAGACAAGCCAAACATAATAATATGAACCATAGCTTTCTAGTCATTCTTGTAAGGCTTCTCTAATATCTAATAACAAAGCTGCCCAAATTACAGAAAAGAGAAAAAGAAATTTAAGCCCGATGGTCTTTGTTGAAGCCCCGCGTTGAAAAACAAAGCCAAGAAGTACAATGTAACCAAGCATTTTATTGGGCACAAATTAAAAGCAAGTAAAAATATTTATTTATAAATGAATGGATTCTGTTTGATTTTGCAAGTCTGACAAATCCTTATCCTCCTCATCAACATCAGACTCATCTTCTGAGTCTGTCTCTTCAAGTATAAAAGCTGCTTTACTGTTAGACTCGGATATGATAAGTGATTCATCAATTGGTTCACAGTAAGCAGAGAGAACAGGTCTATCTGAATTTTTAACAGCAATACTGATAATGTAATCTTCAACAACCCAAGGAAAGCTGAAGAATCTGTTATATAAACCTATCTCCTTGGAAGAACTTGCATTCTCTGCTGGATGATAAGCTACATAATACCAAGCAGCTGCTTTCAATTCCATTTTTTCGTCTAGTTTATCCTTGGATAGACCATCATGTTGATAAAACTCTAGCTCAAAGCTGTGTCTCCATGCTTTTTTCAATCGTGTATATGCTTCCTTGACCTTGCGAGTGATGTTCTTTCTGTCATTATGTGACATATACTTTGGCCAATGATCAATATATCCAGATACAAACTCAATTTCAGATCGGATTCCGTATTGTCCCATCAGCAAACGTAGATCACTATCATATTTTACTCTTGTCGTTCTTGCTTCCAGAATATATTGATGCATACCATCAAGATATAATCTAGGATCATAGTCGCATCTATTTAACAAATATGGACGACTATCAACTGATTGTAGTGTTCTGTGAATAAAGCCAAGAGGTTTGATGGATGGGTATGTCTTGAATGGGTCCTCCTTCATGAAATCAGGAATTGGGTATTCATATATCTCTTCATTTAGCGATGGCCGTATTCCGGTTTTTACAAAATCTATCAAATAATTGCTCATGAGCCCAAAAGAAAGAAGTCAAAAATCAATTTACCTATTGCCATTGCTAATTGCTGTCCTAAATGTAACGTAAGCCCATCATAAGTATTTGCTCTGCATCGATCGGCAAAGGCTGTGTATGCATCTTTTAACAGTTCTCTTCGATCCGTAGATATATAATTTACAACGAATTTGATAGCATCACTGACCAAAATATCACGACCGAGTTCTGGTGGGTTATCATCAGTAGAGTAAATTGGGCTATGGCCTGCTTTCAAGGGCACCAGTCTTTGATCCCATATGATCCTAACATAGGATAAATATATATCAGTATATTAATTTATAAATATTTTAATCTTTCTTACGTAAAGTTATCTTCATCGACATCGTCGTTGGAGCATTTGCCTGGTAGATCCGTCAGTTCATTAGCCGAGTAAATGAGCACGTTTGTGTGGTTTTTTAGTTTTGGCTTATTGACTGCGGTGGCGAGCATGACATTACCCGGACTTAGAGAAGAATCTCTAAAGATCACACAGGGACCCTCGATTACTTCACAAACAGTATTGATACCAGCCGACGTGGAAGTTTGAAAGAAGACTTCACCCCGTTCCAAGCTACCTGTTTCATCCATAATAGCAAATGCTCTAGCACCATTCCTGATATAGAGCTTGTATTCATCCTTCAGTTGTTTCAAGATTTTGTTCTGAAATGATATAATCAAATTCATGATAAATGGATCCTGACGTTTTAGAAATCCAGAAAAGACAAGACGCTTGAAAGAACTTGTGAAGTATCTGGAATAATATTCATCCATCAAGTCATTCAATAGATTACCCTTGTTGGCCGCACCCATCAGGTAGCAATCGATCATATTGTCTATCAAGTTTTGAAACACACCAGGATGAATGCCCATGCTTGACAAAAGTAAAATAGACTGCTTATTAAGGTATGCTCGCTTCCTTTTGGATATCTTGATGACTTCCAGCGTAAGTCGATTTGTGTTGAAATGAATTTGGCCTGATCGAAGTTGAACCTTGCGTTTTGGTAAAAAGCTGGATAGCATGAGAATACCTTTACCACCGGCGAGATTGAACTTAATAACGCTTGGTGTATACTTTAGTTCTAATACTTCCTTAATATCGCGTGCCACTGCAGAAGACACTTTTCCACACTCCTTAGCAAAAATAAATCCATTCTGTTCATAATTATCGATTTCTTCTATCTCCTCTAATTTGATTTCGAGACTGGTCAATCTTTGTGCCATAACCTAAGATATATCCTGTTATTTCACAAGTATTCTTTCTGGTTCTATCTATTCGTACCTGGCCGACGCTCGCGATGTATCTGGGTACTGACTTGATCTCGTCAAAGTCACCCATCCAATAGATGATTTTATCTCTGTTTAAATCGTCTGTAGGAGCAAAAAACCAACAGCTGTGATTACGCAAGTCGTCAGTAGAGGTACACAAGAATTCATATCGTCGGCCAGCGAGTAAAAGGCCCGATTTGAGCACCTTAAAAATGCGATTGTGGATGAGATCGTTTTGCATTGGATAGGGTGAAGGTACGATCGAATTGAGTTCCTCATCTGTAAACTCAACGAGCAAGAACCGGTCGGCATATTGTTTAAACTCATACTGCAGATGATTCATCTTTTGAAGGACAGGTTGAAGTGGATAGATGGACGTGGGAGTAATAATCACTTTTCTAAGGTAAGTGTGGTCCTCGGGTATTACCTCTGGTAGGTTGGTGATATGCGGGTTCTTCTTGAATATGTTATAAATGATAGCGCCTGGGTTATAATGACGTTGTTGTCCAGCAGAGATTAAAGCGAGTAGTCTACAAGCAACACGTGGTTCCAAGTTTTCGATTACTTCAAAAAAATCTTCTTCAATATTGTACTCTCGCAATATTTTCAAGCAAAGTGTATGTTGTAACATGTACTGAACCTCGAATGGTAGGTTTGACATACGTTCTTCATAGTCAATCTTTGGCTTGCGCGCTTTCATCACTTGAATCGTTGTTGTATGCAATACCTTTTGTGCCGTTGCTGATTCTAGTCTCAAACTGAGTGCCTTGTGTGCATCATCATCAAGAGTAAGCTCAATCAGATATACAGACCAGCTATTTAAGCGAACTGAGGTTGAAGAGTTTGTATATGCTTTTATAGGATTTTTATTTTTTGGAGGCTTTTCTGTGTTAAGCGGTATCTCTGTTACTCTTTCCCAGCAGCTAAAATCAAAGAAGTTCTTTTCTTCTTGAGCATTTTTTAGTCTCCAAAAGTAGGCTGGATATTTGGCAGCAATAATAACTGTTGTTGAACCATTGGATCGTTTAATGACAACATCCTTCAGTGCTTCTTGATATCGAATGCGAAGACGATATTGACGGTGAAGGTAATAAAAAAAGATCTCAACGTACTGCTCAAGCACGTTAACGTGAAACTGAATTTTTGAGAGCGTGGACCATTCTTCTTGAAAGATAGAAGACGTTGATAATCCACCTAAAGATAACCTCTCTCCTGTAAATGGTTCACATCTCCATGAGATATAATCATGTAGCGGGTATTGCCTTATGTTCAGTTGATGGTTTCTGACAAACAAAGGCTTGGATGTCAACTCGTTTAGTCTAACTGCTGACCTATATTAATAAATTGATTAATTGATAAATTGTGCCACAAATGAAAAAGGCTATATTGTTTACGAGAAGATGACAGCGGTTTTGATTACCGTATTATTTCTATGTATATGTATTTGCTTCACTACGCCATATTCTTCAAATAAATTCCAAAGGTCCTCTCTTTTTATGCTTGGATGCAGGTTATGAACAATAACACATACATCAGAAGCACCTATATAAATAGCATGTAAGCATAAATAAAGTCGGTTTTCTGTAATACTTACTTAAGTAAGCAAACGGCAGATCATTCATGCTTAATAGAAAAAAAAAATAAGGAAGAAAATAAAAAAGATGCTCGTGACTTTATAAATCGACAATTTGAAAAAGTGGCCAAAGGAGATCAAACTAGATTTAATATTACACGTAACTAAATGGGTCTGGGTCTAGTGCACATTATCTCATCCTATTCGTCAAACTAATTCACCTTCAATGAACATAAAATAAGCTTGAAGATAAATTCTATACACCATTTTCATAAATTATGCATACATTACAAGATCAATAACAATTACACTTTAGTTGATTTTCTATGTCTTCTTTATTGTTAAAAAAGAAATAAATTTTGTCTTTTTGAGAGAAGAAAAGATAAATGTGGTCAATACTTATGAATAACACGTAACTGAAAAAGTTGTTAGAGACTTCATAAATAGTCTGATCTTGACTTCCTTTTCTTTTCTTCCTCTTTGGACCAAAAAGTAAGACCAGCTATTTCCCTGTTAGCCCTAAGGTATGTTATACTCTTTACTCTTGCAAAAAAATTTACGCGTAGTATTATAGATCATAAAATCGAAAACAGTACCGGTGCTAGCTGGGGGTAGTTTGGTTCTTACCAAACTTTGGTCCCATATACTCTTTCAACCCCTTTCGCTCCTTTGGCCGCTCTCTCCTCTTGTCTCTTGCTTGCTTTCTTTTTCTTTCTTTCCCTGCTCTTTCCGAGCTGGTTATCGCCAGCCCAACCCAGGATACACTTCGGGTAAGATATTAATAATTTCTTTACATGTTTACTCACTTTTCTTGCTTCTGTTTTTCTCTTATAAATTCTCTCGTTTATAATGTAAGTATTTAATATCAATGTAAACAACTGATTTACTAATCATTTCTTTTATATCCCATTCTTTTGCTTCTTGTGGGCTCTCTTTTATCATTTGTATCTTTTACTACTTTTTGTCTGAAACTATCATTTTTTATCAGTGTGCGAATAATTTGTGAATAAAGTGTAAAACTGTTTTGGGACATGTTGTACTTTTTTACTCTTTATCTACTTCTCCTTTCTCGCATTTGACATATAAACAGTAAGCAAATGCATTTTGAGTAAATATATATTTTTCTCTCTCTTCAGAGACTGTTGCTTTTTTCTTTCCGTTTTCTATTTTTGGACGAATCATGCCACAAATCTGTAGATGTGGTCAAGAGGCAATCATTTTGGAAGCAAGGGCACCAGGTCCTAATCAAGGACGCTGGTATTGGAGAGTTGGTTCATTTACAGTATTTCATGCTTGAGCTAACCTACAGTTTGTTTGATAGTGTGCATCCAATGCTTGTCGATTCTTTTGCTGGGACGAATCACCACACCAGTTCATTCGACACCCAGTTGAAGCATATAACTCTGGCAACACCTTATCAGGAAAACGCTGGGATTGGGGAAAAGGATATACGCCTGCTGCTTTAAGTACTGTGATTAATGCAGAAAGCGACTTTAACCCTTTAAATCGCTCTAAGACAAAAGTCGTATTCAGTCTTGTGTCTGATGCATACATCACTGTCGAATTTTCTGAAAATCCCACAATTTTACCTGTAATCAAAAATATCGATCATATTTCATGGAATGAGCAGTTGTCCAAGTGGGTCATACCTGCTACTTTGTATGCATATAAAAAGGCTATAAAGGCTTTACCTGTCAACACGCCAAACCTTCAGATTGAAATTGAACCCATTCCACAACCTATCATACACACGCTCCTTGTAAATCCTATTCAAATTAAAAATGCATATAGGGATGAGGCAGAGCCGTTTGGTGATGATGATATGATGGATATGGATGTGATGAATCGTTGGAGTAAATTTGTTGAATCAGATATTTATTCTCAATTAAAAGAGTTTCAAAGAGAAGGTGTGAAACGTGCGATCGAAAGAAAGGGTAGACTGTTGATAGCCAACGAGAAGGGAATAGGCAAAGTAGATGAAGCCTTAGCCATCGCTGCTGTCTACAGAAATGAATGGCCTATTTTGGTCGTTTGTCCAGATGTACTATGTTTAACTTGGAAACATGCCATACAACAATTCTTTGACTTGGATGATGATGAGGTACAGCATCTTCAGGAAGTAAAAACAAATACATTTAAACCACCTACTGTGGTCAAAAGAAATAAACAGACAACTATAAAGAGAACTAAAAAGCAAAGGCAGATCAACAGTCAAAGTATTGAGGACGATGAAGAATACAATGTAGAAGAAGAAGTAATATATAAGAATAGCAAACCAGTCCAATTCTATGTAGTGAATCACGAAGTTGCTACTCGACGACGAAACCTACTTAAAGATGTTAGATTTAAAATGGTTATTTGTGATGGAGCTCAATTTGTGAAGGCTAGAGGAGTAAATAGCTGGTACTTCATATGGACGGAAAGGACAGAAGTAGTCTAACTGCTGCACTTACTAGAATATCCATACTAAAGCTTTTGTTACTTTCTTGGGTGATCATCCTCGACTGATCATGCTATCAGATACTGCCAGTCACTGCTTACCTGCAGAACTGTTTACTGGCATACAAGCGGTTGCTCCACAATTGGTCAATACCTTTGATAAGTTTGCCAAGCGATACTGTGATCCCAAACAGTATATCTTTGGTTGGACATATGATGGTAGAAGAAATACTGAAGAACTGAACTATATATTGGAAAAGATAATCTGGCATAGTCCAAAGATGGTTGATATAGCATCACAATTACCAAGGACTATTTATGAAACCATTACTGCCCACATTAAGCGAGAAGAAAAAGTGAATACAGACATAGACACCACGCTTTCAGTTATGGAACAAACAAGTATTTATATGGACATGGTTAGTTTTTTATATACAGAAAAATCAAAAAAATTAACGATTAGAATAGTATGCAAAGACATGGCAAGCGAAAAAGAAGTTTATAAAAAGTTACTTTGAATATATTTCTCAAAGCTTTAAAGAAAGCAAAATAGCAATTGTTCTTTACCATAATGAAGGGCTATCTGAGTTTAAGGAGTACTTCAGTTCAAAAGAGGTTAGAGCAAAAATGCGCAAGATATGTTAGGGGTACTAAACAATACATTCGTATAGATAAAGTTTGCAGATGTATGCAACTCTGAAACGATTGATCAAGAATGTCAAAACTTCAATACAACTGTCCGTATAGCCTTGATAGACATGAAACTATCAGGACTGGATCCCGGATGCTTATGCGCAGCAGATATAGTCATTTGTTGTGAAGTTCCTCTACAAAGATCAAAAGCCAAACAAATTGAAAGTTATTTTGAGGTACCATTTTTTGAAATAGCTTGTGTGTAAGGGCATGAATAACTGATTATGTTTTCAATTAGAGTGAAGACCGTACAGGTCCGTTATTTATAAAATATTTAATGGCACCCAACACATTGGATGACATACAATGGCCCATACCAGATAATACAAACAACTATGAATAATACTTATTTTTTTATTCAACTATGTAATAACTTATTAAAAAGAAAATAAAGGCAGAGTGTATATATTTGTATAGGAATCTTTAAGCATGAGCTGCTTCATCATTGGGTTTTTCCACAGCTAATGAGTACTTGTGGTTATTCTTCACAAAGGATCCCTTCTTCCTATTTCCCTTTGGTATCGGCCTTGTTGAAGGCTTTGCTGATGCAGAAGCAGATGCTAATACAGAAGCAGATGCTGGTGACTTGAAAACTGCTGATCGTACAGCAGAACTGATACTGATTGACTTGCTGGGAGCCTTACTGACTACTTTACTGCTAACGACATTGTTATTGACGGTATCAGCTTTTGCAACATGATGAAGCGGCCTGTTGGAAGGGAAATCACAGTAAAGAGCACCTAGGAGGAATATAAATAGGTTGTTCAAGAGAAAGTATATAAAAGTTACCTTGATCATCAATGCAAACGAGCCCAGCAGAACATTCACGTTCAAGCCATTGACCAAAGTTACAGGTTACCCATGTGGGAGAATGGCCAGAATGAACACACTTTTGTTGACCAGGAACTGAACAACCTTGTCCACCACTCAAAGAGCCAAATGATGTAGGTACTGCTTGCGATGGAGCAGTTGAAACTGCTGTCGTCAATGGAGAATCTACTGTTTGAATGGACAAGGTCTCTTCGACTGGTGTAGCCTTTGTAGAAATACTAGCGGTTGCAACTGGAGTGGCGATTTCGGGGCTAGCTTCAACAGTCCATTCATCAAGATCGCTATATTCGTCTTCATCAGGTTGTTCAGGACTGGCAGCTGCTACAGAAGTTGGAGAAGGCGTAGAAGCAGATGATGAAGCAGGGGTAAAAAGGGGGTTTCCTGATTTGGGAGCAGCTAAATGCAACTGGCATGTAGCTCGATCGACAGGCTCATGAACCTTATTGACAACGTCCAAAAGCTCACCATTATCTTGATGAATATCCCAAACCATGACGCCAGCCAAATCCTCACACATGACATGTTGTACCTTGATATTTAATGATTGAGGATCGTCATAGGTGATGTACATCTGAGAGGAAGGGTTGAACAGCCAAGGCGTTTGTGAAACATCATCCCAGTGACGAGTCCAACCAGCGCCTGTAGAAACAAAATCATCCTTGATCAAACCTTCCTTTCTAAGATTTGTCCATTTCCAGATACCTAAAAAAAAATGGATTGATTTAACAAGTTTTGGGAATAACTCCCCCTTTCTTTTGTTACCTGAGAGTCCACCAGGTTCCACATTACAATAAGGATCGTCCCAATAAGCATCATCTGAGTCACCTTTTGGAGCACCTACTTGAGCAGGCTGATACTGATTAAGAGGCTGAGTAGCATGCATGTTTACGTTGGCTTTTATAGCACGACCATAGAAAGGCAACCCAGCTGTGATTTTTTCGCTAGGGACACCAGCAGCTTTCCATTGCTTGATACTATCTACAAATGAGAAAGGTGAGCCTTTGCCAGGTTCATAGCGGAAAGGAGCGTTCGGGCCAGTGACAGGAGCCCAAGCACCGTTGATGTCTATACATATATATATATGAGATAACGAAAAGTAAAACTCGTTGGATCATACCATAAGTCATCAGGTTGACATGGTCAAAATAAGGAACATAGGCTTTCAGATCACTCATTGGTACACCCGATTTGATGAAAGGTTGTACATGAACAGCCATAGATACTTCTTTACGGTCGTTGGGAAATCTAGCATCCAAAGCAAAGCGTAATTCTTTCAACAACAACAGAAAGTTATCGGCATCGTTATCTGCAAATTCATTACAACCAGCAGCCTGTCGACCAGGATATTCCCAATCTAGAAATGAATGTTAGGCTCTTTCTTTTAGATCGTATTCATGGTTACCTATATCAACACCATCCGTATTGTATTTTTCAATAAATTGAATATTCCAGTCAATAAATCTCTTGCGGGAGTCAGCCGTGGCAACCATGGGGCTAAATCGCTTAGAACCGGTCCAGCCACCGATGGACAAGAGTACTTTTGTCTTGTTCTTGTGTGCTAATTGGACAATCTTGGGTAACCCACTCTCGACCGCCCAATCATCGGAAAAAGAAGGAAGGTTGTCGGGATTGTTTAATATAGCAAAGGCTAGAGGTACATGTTAGCCAAATGATGAGTAAAATAGCAAGTGTGTTTACCATAGTTGATATGTGTATACTTAGTGTATGGAATATTTTCAACTGGATAATTGGCGTATAACCAATTGGGAAAGTAGCTTTGAAAAATATTTAATAATAATAATAATAATAATAAAAGCTCATGATTTACCCAATCACCATCTTGGTGGAACCTTCACATAACGCAATAGCGGAAGCAAGTGCTGCAGCTATAAATGATAACTTCATGATTTAAATAAAGAAAAATAGAAAGAGAAGAAACGAAAGATGAAAGAAACAAAGCATTTATAGTTTATAAAAGCTTATTACTTTCAGTAATGTTGTCAGTAAAATTTTAAACATATTCCATTCTTTTAGTGGCGATCAAATAGGCACCAATGTACCTGTGACAATAAGCGGCTGTTGAATCAAAAAAGGAAAAATAAAAAGATAATCTGGACTTTTTTTCCTCTTCTTTTCTTTCCCCCTTACCTTTTTACGATATGAGCTTACAGCGCAAAAAAAAGCCTGTAGAGTTTCATTTTGTAGACATGAATGATCCAAGTAGATATAAGAAATTAAAGGTATCTCGTGCCTGCGATTTCTGTAGAAGACGTAAATCAAAGTAACATTTTCTTTTTCATAATAATTTATACTTTGAGAGACCTTAAATTTAACACTTTTTTAATAAAACTTTTCTTTATATATATATAAAAAATACTATCTTTATAAACTATCCTTCTTATTATTGTAAGTATAGATGTGACATAGGCATTCCTGGTTCAGGCACTTGCTCAAAATGTAGAAAACACCAAATTGTCTGTGTATTCTCTCCTGTCAGCACGGTGAAGGGAGCCTCTCCTCAGACTGAAGATGTCGTTCTACTAACTCCTACTATATCGATTCCGATGAATTATCAAGAATTTCAATCAAAATATTCTTCATTATCCGTCAAGAATGGTCAACCTGGCTATGAATTGTTACCACAGCAACATTTGATCATCACTAATAACACAACGGTAGCTATGACGGCAGAACCTACTAAGGAATTAGAAGATACTCTATTTCATATTTATTTTGCATTTGTACATCCTGCATATCCATTACTATTCAAGCAATGCATACTAGACATTCATTCTAAAGACAAATATTTACTATCTCATTCATTACGCTATGCTATCATGTCACTCTCATCAATCTACCACAACAACGAGTATAGCATGTCATTCTATCAATTAGCAAAAGATCACATCAACATAGCATCTCCAGAATTACTTTCTATAAGACTAGATACAGTGCAGACATTACTATTACTATACAAGTATACAGAAATATCATTTATAACACCTGACGTTCGATATCTTGAAATTGCCAATGTCATCTTGAAGCAATTAAATTCATCCTTGATGTTTCAGCAGCAAGAAATGATCAATAGAGCGAGATGGATATTGTTTGCTTCTGTTGGTCTATCAAACCTGTCAGATCCTGGTTTCAACAAACTATATTCAGAAATCGACCTGCCGACTCATTTGCCTCAACCATTAAAAGAGGAACACAACGAAGATGCATTTTGGAACAAATTTTCACAAGTGCTAAATCTCTCTGTGCTATACTCTCATACCATCCAATCAATCATCGCTGGTGCATCTGATATAGATATTCACCAATTTATATCTATGAGGCAACACTGGTATGATTCCTTGAACCCATCAGTGCAAAGCGCTCTTGTATGCGAAAATGGTCAAGTGATCGACATCCTTCCTTTATACAATGCTATAATCTATGACATGCTTTATCTGTTATTGTTGCTCCATCAACAGCATCAAGTGAAGAGGGGAATCACCATAGAAACAGCTTATCGTCTCCAACGAATGATCTACAAGTGGGTAACTCATACTCAATTTATAAGCGCGATACAGAGTAAACGCATGGCTGTGTTTGGCTTGTTACTCTGTTTACAGGTTTATATTATTGCCAACATCTTTGACTGTATAGAAAACATTAGGCTTGTCATGAAACACATTCAGTACATCGATCCAAAGATCGATCAACAATTGAATGAGCTGACAAGGCAACTGACGATCGGTCGTATCAGAACGCCAAACTCACCACTAGAAGAAGACTACTTTAGTCTGATTCCAATGCATTCTACATGCTCTTCTCCTTCTTTGTCGACCCCTTTATTTGTCAATCAGAATACCTCTCCTTTAGCAAAAGACGAACTAGATATTTTATTACAGGAACAGCTACAACAACTGCAAATAAAGCCGGTTTGCTATTTGAATAGTAATAATAATGTTAATAAAAGCTAGAATTATCGATCTTGTCGTTTGTCTTCATCAATAATGCCTGCCATCTTTAAGAGCTCTTTGTCCAATTCTCCATCTGATAATCTAATATTCAATCCTGACCTTCGCTGAGCTTCTTTCCTTTCAAACTCCCATTCTTTTAACTGTTTTTCTTTATCCTTTTCTGTTCCCAGCCCAAACACTTCAACATCTACTGTCTCAAAAATGTACTTGAAATCTTGCTTTCTTCTTTTAAAGCTCATCCAAACTGGAGAGCTTGGGTATGCTTCATTTTCATAGACGCCTCCTTGTAAGGTATTCTCTAATAATAAGGTAAAATCAAATCCTTTCTCTGCTCTTGCACCGAACCCAATCCCTGTATCGTGATGATAGTATATGTAGTGGCCATTCACTGTTCTTTCATTCGATCGAAAGATATCGAAATTCGGCTCAAGTTCAAATAAGAAACATTCGTTTGTTCCCCAAAAATACTTGGAATTCTTCCACGTTTGCGGTACATATACTCCCACAAGCATGTTTTGCTTTGCATTAGTCTCTGTTGCAATACTCAAACTTGAATATCGCTTTGGTGGCTGCGCCTCAATCTTCAACACCATCAGTGTTGGTCCTGGGTACTTGAACACATGGCTTTCAAATCGATTCATAGAGAATCCGTCTTGTTGAGCAGAGTAGAGTCTTGTCCATTTTTTGACGTTCAAAGCCTTTTCGGGTAATGACCAGGAGAGCAAAGTGCAGTGCATATGGCTCAGTAAGTCCGTTTGATCTGGTACTGGAATTGTATCTTCCTGTGATATCCTTTCCGAGGGTCTTTCAATATAGGTAAATGATTGCGTAATAAATGACTGTATTGGGTTAAATAGATGTGGTGAGAAATTTGATTTCCATTCAGAGAATACTCTATATGAAACACAGGTATCGTCTTTTGTCTTTTCGAGACTATCCACAATATCAGTTGCTACCCTTCGATTCTCATCATGATCTTCGTTGCTTCCCAACCATAAGAGTAACACAAACAGCTCAACCAAGTCTCTGCATAAAATCTCAGGTCCGTCATCCTTTTCCTTTTTTTGGATATCCAAGTCAAGATCAGTAAAGTCCACACCTAAATCTTCTAATGACAAGCCTTTTGAATGACCATGCTTCTTTGGAGGCTCCAATGTTACCGGAGTTTCTTTCTTCTTCACTGGATCCGGCAGAATAGACAACGCTTGGAAAAAGAGTGTTTCGGATAGTTCATGACCTAATCGACCAGTAAAGACCACAAAAGCTGTCAAAAATGCATCAAGAGAGAGTGGAACCGGACCGGCTGCTGTACAAGCGGGGTATGAGCCTAGATATGAAAATGCTTTGAATAAGAGTACACCAGCTGGTTCAACCTCTGAAGGCAAAGCAAGTCGCGCCTGTTTTTTGTTTTTTGTTTTTTTAGTAAAAGAAGTTGATCCTTTCATGATGTATGTACCAAAAAGTTTTTGGGTTCAATGCATTCGAAATGATCAGGAAAGGCAGATTTTAAACTATTGAATACGCACTTTATTGAAACAAGTTCAACTTTTGTAAGGTATTTGCTGGGTCGAAACGTTTGGCTTGTTTTAATTTCTGGTTTAGTATGCGATTGACCCATTGCTGTAAAGTGAAAGGCAAAAAAGTGTATTCTCTCTGCTTTATGTCGCTTTGAGAAAGTTGAATCCCCGAAGTCCATTTTTTGCCTTGTATTCAAGGTCAAAATTTAAAAATGAACACAATCAAAGTTCAATATGAGACGTATTATTTTTTTAATAGGCACTTGTAATAAAATTATACACGCCTGTCTAATGCGAGCATAAATTAGCAATGTTGCCAAAAAGATGACAGAGAATGTTGGTATATGCTCTTTAGCCACGCTTTATTAGGAAAAAAAAAAAAAAAGAGCTCTCATGTTTGAAAAGCATCTATGGCAAATTCTCTTACCAGCTCGTAGTCCTGCGTCACATACAGTCATTACAAAAGGTAAAGTCTCTGTTTTTAAACTTGGTATCGTACAAACAAAATTTATGATCGGTAATTAGATGGCATACAACGCCGGATTTGATGAAGTAAAATCTGATTGCGTTACTAAAAACCATCGTTTGACGAACATTGATTTGATGCGCTTGGACATTTTCTCCAAAAATACAATTGATGAAGATCCATAAGTATACACTTCTTTAAAAGATAATTCTTCCTATGGTAAAAGCAGTATCATAACCCAGGTCATGAAATGAACAATAAAATCAGTGTCAGGGACGAATTAAACACTGTTAGTAACTATAGACCACGCTTAGTGGCTTACCAACAATTTGATAACAGCTATAAATAGTAGATCATTAAGTTATTTGTATGTTCCTTTCTGTCTTTATCTCAGAATAAAGACTAATAATTAGTACTTTATTTATCTTTACCTTATACCATATAAACCATCACCACATAAGTGTTTACGAAGGATCTTTTTTATGTGAAAATTAGTTTTGATCGTTATAAGGGTGTCTTTGTGTGTTTGGCGATGCTAAAGACAGTTTACATATGTTAACATGACAAGTCAGAAGCCATACCAAATTAAAAGTCGATACTATTAGAAGCTCCATACCAAACTGCCTTTGTTTACCGTACGCACCTTTTTGCTCTTATAAACAGTGAAATAATAGCAAAAAGCTTTTATGGGCATGGAAATGGATATACCTACAGTTCCTCATTGAAACTATACTAGATAGCAAGGTTGAAATTAACAGCGCCCTTGGAGGTATGGCGTTAGTCCCCCAGGATGCGTTCAATGTCAATAAGCAAACTCGGAATTCTTTTGAATCAATGTCACGATCAAGTATTCTTCAAATGATCTCAACTAAACTCGTGTATGCTTTCATTGGGAAGTAATAATGCTTAATATTGGATTCGAACATACATAGTCTTCCTTTGGGAAATATTAGTAGCACCTGATGCATCATTTTCGTCATTATACTCGCAAGCGTAACACGACTGTCAGAATTATTAAATATCTGCTGCACTATTTTTTAGAACTTCTTTATGATCTGTTATAGCAAGCATTGATAAATATATACTTTGGTCAAAGATGAGGATTGAAAGACAGTCAATTCCGTAAGAGCTATATTAGAAATCTGTCATTATACTGAATATAGTTGGCAAACAAGTCATTCTGTCTCTGAATTGCTTATCATCTGTTGATATTGTACTACTTATTTTACTTCGCTTTTTTTCTTAATTATCTATGACACAGGTCACCGTTCAAATTACAGTGTATTAACCCAGATTAAAACAGATGTTTCCTTAGTGGACCCTGTCATATTCATCAGGGATGCAAGCTGTGATTATAAAATAAGGCAGTTAAAGATACTGAATAAAGAATAAAGGTAATCTTGTTGTATTTTTTAGTTCAGCGCATTTTCTTCCATTACTGTTGTACGGCTTTGTACTTTGTGTTAAAGGTAGAAAAGCGTATGTGTTGTACACAAATACAGCATAGTTCGTAGCCATTAAAAAGGATATTCATGTGTTTATAATAATGTCTATAAGGTGATCCACAAAGAGCAAAGTAAGACCACTTCTCTTTGGCGAGATATAGACAGGCAGAATATTGCGTGTTTCTTTGAAGGATGGCTATATTATGAATCAGCTGACATCAAAAGAATGATAATTTACAAAAAAAGTCTCGTTTCACAGTCATTAAAACAAACCTCGTGAGAACTTCTCGGGCTTCTATGATAGACTTATGATGTGCATTAGTCAACTAAGTCCATGGTACTCTTAAATGTCAGAGACAACAGTCTATATTCAAATTTCTACTTGTCATTTATTGTAGTTTATTCTAAAGCGAACAAATCAAAATCCTAAACCTTCCGATTTCCTAAACCTAATCTTTTACTGGTAAAATTCGGATTCCAATAAAAATACAGCAACTGTAACACAAACGTCGTACATGCCCTCATATTTCTTTGTATGGACGATAGTGCCATATTTGGCTTCATGTTGCAATATCAATAGATATAGCAGCTATAACATTCAATGAAGTTACAAAACTGACAGCAGTAACAGTGGCAATGGTTACCATGATAGCAATTGACAGAGCATTGCATTTTGTAGCGGAGTTATTTGTTATCACATAAGCAGTAATGTCTTAGGAGAGCTTTCACAAGATAATTTTTCAACAAATTACCAAATTAAGTATTTCCTTAAAGAAAAAGATAATGACTGAAATGAAGTATTATTGGTTGATTAAAATCTGGGTGTCAAGGTAACAGAATATAAAGAAAAAAATTTAAATATAAATGATCTCCAGAACAGAGACACAAAAATTGCGCTTTTCTTTCTTCACTTTTGATGTCTATTAAAGAAAAAGATTTTGTTAAAAAAGATGTATTCGAAAATGCATACGAAAATGCATCTGAAGAACACATTGAACCAACTGAAAGCGATTGGAAAGTACTAAGAGAAGTATCGGATAGCATACCTAAAGCAGCTTACTTGGTTATTGTTGTTGAATTCTGTGAAAGATTCACTTACTATGGTCTAACCGGCCCATTCCAAAACTATATCCAAAACCCTGATCCTGGTCACTGTAAGTAGTAATATACTTTCTCACGAAGGTTACTCATTCCCACGTTACCCACAGACCCTGCAGAATATCCCGGCGCAATGGGACGAGGACAACAAACAGCGACTGCCCTTACCACATTTTTCCAGTTTTGGTGTTACATTACACCAGTCATAGGTGCTATTATCGCTGACCAATACTTGGGCAAATACAAGACAATTCTCATCTTTGCCATAATTTACTTTATTGGCTTAATTCTCCTTACTCTGACCTCTATTCCTTCTGCAATTGCTACTGGAGCTACCTTCCCAGGCTTTATCGTCTCTTTAATCATTATTGGTCTTGCCACTGGTGGCATCAAGTCCAATGTTTCCCCCCTTGTTGCTGAGCAATATAAAAATACGAAGCCATACATCAAGACCATCCGCAAAAAAGTCTTTTCAAACCACTCCGTTGACGAAGGCGACCATGCAGTGAATCATCAGGGTGATGACGAAGTTCGCGTAATTGTATCTCCTCAAGCTACATACCAAAAGCTATTCAACATGTTCTACTGGGGTATCAACCTTGGTTCTCTTGCCTCAGTCACTACTGTAGTCCTCGAAAAGCAGGTTGGATTTTGGGCTGCCTATTTACTGCCAACCCTCGTCTTTATTCCTGGTATTCTCATCGTCTTCTTTGGTAAAAAACAATACGTGCTGACTCCTCCTCGTGGTTCCATCTTTATTGAAACTTTCAAGGTCATCAGGTACTCATGGAAATATGGTTTTGAAGGATGCAAGCCATCCAACTTACGTCAAGTCAACCCCGAGTTGGCATCAAAGGCAACATGGGATGATATTTTCATTGATGAACTCCGTCGTACATTCAGAGCCTGTGTTGTATTTTGTTGGTATCCCATTTACTGGTTATGTTACTCCCAAATGACCAACAATATGGTTTCTATGACAGCCACCATGCAAACTGGTTCAGTTCCTAACGATATCATGCAAAACATCAACCCCTTAACTCTCGTCATTTTCATCCCTATCATGGACCGTATCGTCTATCCTGGTTTACGTCGTATGGGTCTTCATCTTGGCCCTATGATCCGTATCACCTTGGGTTTCTTTTTTGCTGCCTGTGCTATGGGCTATGCTGCTGGTATCCAATCCTATATCTACAGTAAGCCTCCTTACTATGATCATCCAACCGGTAACGGAAAGAACGATGTATCAGCTGGATTGATTATCCCTGCATATGTCTTGATCGGTATTTCTGAAATCTTTGCTTCCATCACTGGCCTTGAATACGCCTACAGAAAGGCTCCTGAAAAGATGAAGTCACTTGTCATGGCCATTTTCTTACTTACCAATTGTTTCGGTTCAATTCTTGGATTTGCTCTTGTTTCTGTTGCAGAAGACCCCAAGCTCAAGTGGATGTATACTGGTATTGCCATTGCCATGGGTGTCTGTGCCCCACTCTTCTATTTCTGCCACGGCAGTAACGATAAAACTGATATGCAGGAAGATGCTATTCAAAGAAGTGCAGAAAAAGAAGAAGTTGTTGTCGAGTATGAGGTCGAAGCCAAGCCTACTGTATAAAAACAATTTATATGTGTGTATAAATTGCGTGTATTATAAAATGCCATACATATACTAATAGTAATAACGATAATAAAGCTAATGCATAATAACAATTGATCTTGATTTTTAACTTTTCATCTGAAGCTGCATTTACAACCTTTTCAGAAAGTAAAGTCGCATTTTTGCAGTTTTTATAATACAATTTATACGAAAAAGCGATAAGTCAGTGCGACATCTCTTTCTGGAAATGATGTATATAAAAAGACCTTTTGCTGTTGTGTATAGCCCTTATCCAGAAACTTACTTTCTTTTGTTTACCATAGTCTTGTTGCTTTCATTAATATGCCAAGTTTTGTACCACAAGAGCTCCAGATTGTGTAATATATGATTTGATAATATTAAATTACGCTCGTTTTCTTTATCTTGGAGAGATTTATTAGAAATATTTAATTCAATGCTGTTCTTTGCCAGTAGGTTAGAGTATATATCTATTTTACTTGTTAACCTACCAACACTGGCTATTGTAGATATTTAGATCTAAATTAGCATAACTCTTCACTACAATACCCACCATTCATACTTTATTTCTCATTACAAATACAAATAACAGTCCCGTACTTAATCCAGATAAAGTCCAACTACTATTCTCACTTTTTTCCCCTTTTCTTTTTTTTTTTCTTCAGGGAAACCACTTGAAACTATGACAAAACTGTTTGAACCTATTAAAATCGGTCGTCACAATCTTCAGCACCGAGTAGTGCTTGCGCCCTTGACTCGATTCAGAGCAACTCTTGAAGCCGTTCCCACAGATCTTTTGGTGGAATATTACAAGCAAAGAGCAACACCTGGTGGTTTATTAATTACAGAAGCCACGTTTATCAGCCGTCTTGCTGGTGGATATCGACGTGCTCCTGGTATTTACAGCAAAGAACAGATTGAAGGATGGAAGAAGGTTACATCGGCTGTTCATGATAAAGGAGGCATTATCTTCTTGCAACTCTGGCACATTGGTCGAACAGGCTCTACAAGCTTAAATCCCAACGGAGAACCTATCGTCTCAGCTTCTGACGTGCCTATGCCTGGAAAGAAACCATCGGGGGCTCCGTATGAAACACCCAAGCCTCTTGAAATACATGAAATTAAGGAACTTGTACAGACATACAAGCAGGCCGCTTTGAACGCAATTGAAGCAGGTTTTGATGGCGTAGAAATTCATAATGCTAATGGGTATCTTTTGGATCAGTTCCTCAACACCTCTTCCAACAAGCGTACAGACGAATACGGTGGTTCAGCAGAAAATAGAGCGAGGTTCACCTTGGAAGTTGTTGATGCTATAGTGGACGCCATTGGACCTGAACGCACAGCTATTCGATTTTCTCCTGATGGAAAGATCCAGGGCATGCAAGATGACAACCCGTTGGAAACATGGGGATATGTGACCTCTCGCCTTCAGGAAAATCATCCCAATCTGGCTTATCTCCATTTTATTGAGGCAAGATCAAGTTTTTACAATGATGAAGTCAATATCGTTGACACGTTAGACCCTTATCGTCGACTATGGAAAGGTCCCTTTATCACTGCTGGCGGTTTCTCAAACGCCATTTCCCATTCTGTAAATGTAGCACAAAGAACAGGCAACCTGATTGCGTACGGAAGAGCATTTATTGCTAATCCAGATCTTCCAAACAGAATAAGAAAGCAGCTTTCACTTAACAAGTATAACCGAGCTACATTTTACACACATGATGCTGCTGGATACATAGACTATCCATTCTATGAGCAGAGTAAATTATAGACATTTTAGAATAAAGATTATTTATTATGTGCACACAATTTTATTAAATAAATTAAGCCTTTGCGCTCAAAGCCAAAATAGCTTCTTCCACACGCTGTCCATATTCAGGATCAGCACGCTTAAAGTGAGCGATTTGACGTTCTTGAATGTGCTTCTTGGCATTCTTCAAATGACCAGCAATGTTATTGACTAGATCTGTCTTTTCTTCAGCAGACATAAGACGGTACAAGTCACCAGCTTGGACAAAGTCATCGTCTGTTAATTGATAACTGTGACGACCAGTGGCACCTTCGATCTCCTCGGCAGTAAAGGTTGTGGCAGCAATGTTTGTCTGATAAGGACCGCCAAAGGAGTTGGGTTCATAGTTAGGAGCAGAACCTCCGTTACCAAGCACTGTGTGATGTTAGCTTCATGCTTTCATAACAAACGCATCTATGTAAACTTACCAGCCATTTGGCCATCACGCTGATGATTGGCGACACGGCTTTGAGGTTGATTAATGGGGATTTGAGCATAATTAGCGCCAAGACGGTGACGGTGGGTATCAGGGTAAGAGAAGAGACGACCTTGGAGCATACGATCGGGAGTGATATCAATACCAGGAACGATATGAGAAGGAGAAAATGCAGCTTGCTCCGTTTCGGCAAAGTAGTTTTCTGGGTTGCGGTTCAAGGTCAATTTACCAACAGGATGAAGGGGATAGTCCTGGTATAAAGTATAAGATATCGAGTAGGATAGGGGATGCTTTACTTACCTTGTGTGACCAGACTTTGGTGACATCGAATGGGTTGAAACGGTACTTCTTTGCATCTTCAGGATTCATAACTTGGATGTATACAGACCATGAGGGATACTCTCCACGTTCGATAGAGTTGAAAAGATCGCGCGTTGCGTAATCAGGATCGGTACCGGCCAATTCAGCAGCCTTGCTTGCCTTTAAGTTTTTGATACCTTGGTCTGTCTTAAAATGCCATTTGACATACTTGAATTCACCTCTTTCGTTGACTAACTTGAGTGTGTGTGAAGAATATCCGTTCAGATGACGATAGCCATCAGGTGTACCTCTGTTAGAGAAGAGAATAGTGACCTGATGGATGGACTCTGGGACAAGAGAGAGGAAATCCCAAAAGGCATCAGGATCAGCTATATTGGTTTGAGGGTTTCTCTTTTGAGTGTGAATAAAGTCTAGAGAACATAAAGTTAGGTAACCTTGCTGCATGATTTTCTCTTTCTCACTCTGTACCTGGGAATTTGGATGGATCACGGATGAAGAAGACGGGTGTGTTGTTACCAACCATGTCCCAGTTACCCTCTTCAGTATAAAACTTGACGGCAAAGCCACGAGGATCTCTAGCAGTATCAGCACTACCCTTTTCACCACCAACAGTTGAGAATCGAAGGAACACTGGTGTCTTTTTACCAATGTGGCTCAAGAATTTTGCCTTTGTAAGGTGGGTGATGTCATGGGTAACCTCTACAGGAAGACAGTGTCAGGGAGGAGATGAACGATTTCAATTCATTCAATCTTACCAAATACACCATGAGCACCAGCGCCTTTAGCATGAACAACACGTTCAGGAATACGCTCTCTGTCAAAGTGAGCTTTTTAAAATAAACTGTCAGCATAAACATCCAAATATAGAAATGTGGGACAAACGATGCACATTTGCATAGTTCAAAATCTTACCTAGTTTATCAATTAAATGGAAATCTTGAAGAAGACTAGGGGATGATATCAGTACACAATAGGTATAAGCAATAGCCATCATCACTTACACAGGACCCCAATAGCCAGCAGTTTGGGATGTCTGATTATTTTCAACTGGGTTTCCGTTGGATGTAGTCAATACGTTCTTGGACATTTTTTTATTTTAAAAAAGAGAGAGGAGAAGTAAAGGCAATACAATTGATTTAAAAAGAAATAGAAGAAAAGAAAAGGTCGTGAAGCGTTGGTTGTTCCTTTTTATACATTTCATTTCTTTTTGGGGAAAGGGTGTGAAATAAATTCAGTCATGAGCGGGTATACAACAAGCTTTGTAATAATGGCCAATCAACTTTCAAATATACTCTAGTGACACGCTAAAGAAGGAGCAGTCTATATTTTTAAAGGTAGCTTATTGTAATGACCAATATTAGATTTGTATTTTCTTCAACAGCTGTAAACAATGTTGATCATTCAACAGTCCTTAAGTACCAACTTGTTAAAGCTTATTTAGGAAATGATAAATCAAAAGAAGCAGGGTGATAGTGAGGCTCAACTGATGTCAAGTAACAAACCCTATTATACATTGGTTATTGTTGTGAGAACACACTTTTATCTTTAGCCAATCATAGCTTTATTTTAAGCTTATTAAGCAATTCTCAGTAAAATCTGACATTAAGCATTCCGTGACACCTACTATTTTTTAAAAAGGGAAAACTATTATTACAGGATGACAAACACCTGTTCTTGGATATCACTATTTATAGGCAAATGATACTATTGAGTTACCAACTGCATTTTGTGTATTTTGTTCAACATAACTGGTACTCTTTTTTACAGCAAGAGAAACAAAAGCAGGATCAATTAAAAAAATATCCTGAATTAAAAGGCTTTATCTCGTTATGGATAATGCAGCCTATCCATGAGGAAATTGACACACTGACTACCAGTAGAGGTTATCAATGTATATACCCTCACTTTACTCGCCTAAACTGAGTCCTATTGAGCAATTCAAAAATAGAGTCAAGCGTAGAAATTTTAGTGATAAAGATCTATTTACAAAGACCTGTGATGCATGAAACGATGTCCCTTTTGAGATGTGCAGGAAGAAACAAACACTGTGTTGGTTTACAATAAGCAGATTTAACATAATGTTGTATCCAAATCCTACCTTGGCAAGTGGCTTCTAGTAGCTTATAAGACTTCAATATAATCCTATTTTTTATTCTTTTGTGATATTTTTTTATGCTTAGTTTGATCATAGTAAAACTTATTTCTCATAAAAACAAAATAAATGAAATCATTAGTAAATAGTGAAAAACATGATTTATTAATCCAGTTATTTAAGGGTTTGTGATATAGCAGCTTGAACAGACTTGTTTACAGCAACAAGGTAAGGGTGCAATAAAACAGCAAGATGTTGTATATGCTTGTTCAATTCTCTAGCTTCAAGGACTGTGGTTGATGATCCATCAGTATTGAACAATAAAAGCATTTCTTCCAACGCCTTGCTGATATTTTCATTATTGCCGTTTTTCAAAGATTTTGAGACCACATCTTTGTTTAACTAGGCTTCAGCTCCTTTATTAAGGACTTCGATTGCAATAATACTAAATATTTTCGATGCAGGGCTTCTATTCTTGTCAAAATGATGTACACTACATGCGTCAGAAAATAGGTTAGTGCTACGGGCATTATCTGTGATACCCTCGACAGACCATTTCAATGTATAACGTCAAGCTAGACATGTATTTATAAAATTGCCATATTGGCTTGTATTTCTTTTCAAAGAGAAGGGGGTGGAAAAAGATTTTTTTTATATTTTAATTTTATGTTGTCAGTTTGATCAACAAATAACCAAGGTTATTCACGTGTAATTATGATCAAACTTCATAAAGAATCCTCCACAGGACAGCCTTAGGCGAGTTAGCGACTTTGGTAGCGTGAAGTTGTATAGTGGCATCACAGATAGCGCCTAGAGTAACCTTCTCATGGATTACCTCGTGCGCGTAATGTTCGCCGTCAAGATTAAACAAGGTAAAAACAGAATAAGGATGACATGTATAGCTCTGCGTTAGTAGTCCTGAACAATGACGAAGGTAATTGGTTTAACCATCATCAAGAAATGTATTCACTTGTCTTAACTGTCCTAAAAAGTTACAATTATTAAGTGACATGCAGTTTTGTCAAGGTACTATTTGTGTTGACTAGATAACATCCCTTCGCCCAATACTCGCATGATAGAGATATAGCACAAGTATTATTGAAGCGAGGCCTTATCCCTGTAGTTTGAGTGTTGAATATCAGCATGATAAGCAATACTTTATAACTGCAATACTCCATAATACAACAGTGTGCTGCCCGGTTCATAAAATCAGCGTTAACCGTTGGATTTACTTCAACCATAATCGGCGGTTGCTCCAAAGATATAAGTATAGGCTCATATATGACATCAAATCTGTGGCTATGATCCCATTCTGTGTCGCCAATTCTATAAGCATCTCCATTGACATCTAGTGAAGCTTTCGTGATTATATTCTTCACGTCAAATTGTTTTGGGACGAATTTGCTCATTTGGTCAGGATTAGGCTGTTCATTGAAGGGTATTCTGGATGCCAGTAAGTCTCCTATTTAAATGGACTTCCATCACTTTTGATATTGTTTTGTTCAGCTTTGTTATTAAAAAAAAACCAGTTAAATCAGCATCTTGCGAATTAAGTTCTTTGTTGAAAAGAAAGGGGTATTATTAAAATAAGATAGGTGTGCATTTTATAGAGAAGAATGAATGCTGTCAGTATGATTTATTGTGGTCAATGTGATTATTTATCAATAATATATTAGTAGCTACTATTCTTATTCTTATCAGACGCGACAGAGGAATGCAAAGTACAATGTATGCTCTATTATAATCGAGTTATTATAACGATTCATATCAAAAGCATCACTTGTTACGGTTCCAGATCTTCATATTATGCTATTTTTATTGGACGGTGGCACTCTAAAACTGCGATTACCGTTACGTTACGTTTTCTGGCTGGTTATTTGATGGCATTATTATTGGGTAATGCAAAAGGACACTGCAGAATCCAAAAAAGGTAACACCCCTTCCCCCAAACTGCAGAACAAAAACTTGTCAAGGCTATTTGTGGTTTAATTCAGAAACTACTCAGGGCTACTATACAAGAGAATGTCAACGAGGCTGAACCCTGCTCACGATTCATTGAGCCGCTCTTGTCGGGCCTCTTTGACGATCCTGACCAGGAGCACTATTTATGTTCGACGAATACTAGAATTCTTGAAGCTAACAAAAATCCTACCAATACATTCGTGTAACGACGTGATCTCAGCATAATGAAGTCTCTTGGCCTTAGATGGCATCATTCATTGTATTTCTATGTTTATATCAAAAATACTACATCTTTTGATGTAATATAGTTAATATATATTTTATACACAAGTCAAAATTATCTTATATATCAACATAATAACTTATATTAAGCCTACAACGCTGATTCATGGTATCCCTAGTCTGTAGTAGCTGATGGCACATCATATAATATAATTCACTAGATGTTGACAACGTTTATTCTTGTAAAGTAATACACATGTTACATTAACTTGATCTTCTTCGCCTTGAACTAACATGCAATGTAATAAAAAGAATTCAACCTTTATGTCTCTTTGGTTGCTACATATTTCCAATACCACACAGATATAGCCGTATATGCATGTTTCAGTATTAAGCTATATAAAACATAATCTCTTCTATGATTTTCGAGATGGACAGAGCACCACGCTGATCTTCCGTAAGACATAGGAACTCTGGTAGGTTGATTAGAAGTTGGTCTATAGCTAGTCCATCCACTGGATAAGGTGAGCACAGCTGAGTGTAGATATATTCAGCGGTGGTCTGTCTGCTTGATTGATCGAGGCACAGATCACTGCTCTCAGGATGATATAGAACAGGAATATAGCGCTGAGGTTCCCGTATTTTGATCAAGTTTTTAATAAGCTTGGATGGTTTCTCAGTTTGTTCCAATCAAATTCTTTCTGCTTTGAGACTCACAATTTCAGCTATTTCGTTTTGGAGATTACCTATTTGTGTTTCAATACTCGCAACAGCAAAGACAAAATGCTGTAATGCTTATATTGACGAAGCATACGATTCCGCTTACCTTGTAATTTTTTCAACTGTCTTTTGTTCTCCAATTATTCTGGCAAAGCTGGAAGCGTTTAACAAAGAGTTCTTTGCTACATCTTCAGTCGTAAGGAAATCATAGAGATAAATTAAATCTCTGCAAGAAAATCCATATGAAACTGTGCTTGTGTTTAATGAGCATGAGGCCCTGGAAATAAACAGAATCATTTATTTCACCATTTTCAACAATTAAACACTGCTAGTATCTGCAGAGCAACACATCTCACTCACAGAACAACGTGAATACCAGGAAAAGGAAGATGAACAGGATATCGTTATTGCGATCGTCTACCTCATTAGGTGATGCGAATTTCCGAAAGGTCAAAGACTGTTATGTCTCTTGAGAGGCTCATGCGATGAATTGTATATAAAAATGGTGCTTATTAATTGATCTAGAGGCGCCATGATGGTAGTTACGAGAACGAATGAACCGCAGATAGCAATATGTACTGCAATATTTAGAGTATATAGAAACCATTGCTTCATCTGTTACGACCTATTTGAGGACGCATGGCGTATGCCTTCACCTTCTTCTGATGCTTGAGCCTAGACTTGCTCAAAATAAAGTTATTATTCTTTTCATGTATTAACAGGGTTTCGGAACGCGTCTATCATTTGCTATTACCATTTTTGGTGATGGTGTTCTTTTGATTTATGCATAGTTTGCTTCATTTCTTTATACAAGATTATTACTCATATAGCAACTACTAAAAAATTGTATTTATCTAGTCTTTACTTGCAAGAAGTCAAAAGAAAAAAAAAGGGGGGGACTCCGTATGAAAAGGGCATGAGTCGTACATTAAATCGTTGAAAAAGATGAGGTGATGAGATTTATCAGATATGGCATTTGGAGAACATACATGGAAACGTAAAGAAAATAGCTCAATGATAAAGTAAATTAAAGCAGAAATTGAAGTAAGTATATGGAAAGAGAGGAGGATACTTGTATGAAAAGTATAGATATATCGATCTTTTCTGTTTGAAAAGTCATGCCATTTTTATTATTTATTCAAAAAGGGGGGATAACGCGGGATTGATTTTCCTTTTTTTTTTTTCTCATGTCAAAATTATTTACCCAGCAAGAGGTTGCCAAGCATAATTCTAGTAAATCATTATGGGTAGTCTTTAATGATAGGGTGTATGACATAACAGAGTTTGCCAAGGATCATCCTGGAGGGGATGATTTCCTTTTGCAATTTGCAGGCAAAGATATTACTGAGGTCATGTCAGATAAAGATTACCATGAACACTCTGAGGCATCCTTTGAAATACTTCAAGATTACATGATTGGTAGAATGGATAACAAGGCTTGTACTCGACGTTTAGAAGGACAACGTGCGAGCCTCCATCGTAAAAGGATTGCATTATTGGAGAAGGAGATCGAATACAAGACGTTTACAGAGGACAACTTTCATCCCTCTTTAACAGACGCACACGTCGATATCAAGACGAATCAATTCCTTGATCTTAATAAGCCGCTGGTTCCGCAGATGATAACGATGAAGTTTACTAGAGAGCATTATCTTGAGCAAGTACACAAGCCTCGGTATTTGAATCGACCTGCCAATTTTTTTGGTCATCCGCTCCTCGAACCATTCTCAAAGACGTACTGGTGGGTAGTACCTTTAGTCTGGCTACCTTATGTCGTCTATAACATACATCATTCACTTTTAATGAACCAGCATAATACCATGACAACCGGAAGCTTATTCTTACTCGGCGTCTTTATATGGACTTTCTTAGAATATGCATTGCACAGATTCCTATTTCATTATGACGATAGAATGCCAGAGAATCAATTCATGTTTTTATTGCATTTTGTACTTCATGGGTTTCACCATTACTTACCAATGGACAGGTAACAGCGTTTGATTAAATAACTACAATACTTACTCCTTTTTTTTTTTCTCAAATATAGAGCAAGGCTTGTCGTGCCTCCCGCGCTTCTTGTTGTCCTTGCTTATCCATGGATCACTTTAGCACATATACTCTTTCCATCCTCTGCGGCTTTTGCAATTGTTGCAGGAGGCATGTTTGGTTATGTCTGCTATGATATGACACATTACTACGTCCATCATGCAAAGGTAATTCCCTTTCACTTTAAGGAAATGAAAAAGTATCACTTGGCACATCATTACAAAGACTTTGAAGCTGGTTATGGCATTACATCCAAGTTTTGGGATTATGTGTTTAATACAGTCTTGGCATATTAAATACGCCTAGGCTAATAATATGTGTATAAAATTATACTAAAGATTTAATAAACTAATATAAAGAATAAACGCATTGTAAAGATAAAGCCTATAGAATGCTGTTTCATCGAGATATAACGAGCTACTTGGTCTTTAAAATGCTCTCACAGCAACTCATGGTCCGCTAGTGTGTCACCTGCCTTGGTAAGGACAAGCTTTTTTTTCTTGGCAAGTAGTAACAGATGATTCATTCAAAAGGGAGGAGATATCGATGACTCTAAAGCAAAAAAGAAAGACTATTTTTCCTCTTTTGATACAAGTAATAAGCTATATATTCTAAAGACTTGATTTATCATTCCAGAAAGACTTGTGATTTATTATATATTGTATTGCATCTCACATTTGTTTTGCATAAAGATGAATAAATAATAGGGGCAATGCTTGTTAAACTGTCATTTTTCTTTTCAAGTATGACAATGATAATATACATAAAGACATTAGAACAGTGGCTATAATATCAAGTCTTTTTTGTGATCTACAG